GTTTATGGGTTAGTGCCGCCGTGTAGAACAGCCCGGAGGTCTGGGCGGGGCCACCTTTCGAAAACCACTTCCTGAGCGACTCTTCAACGGACTCATTAGTGCTGACTTCAGCTGCCCCCCCTACCCCAGCCTATATGGGGGGGAGCTAGTTAGCCTTTTAACGAATAAGACACATCTGCGGAGGGCTTATCTTGCAGGTGCCCCGCCGGCCTGGAATTATGATGAATTACTCGTAAATGGCTCCGTTGACGTGGATTGACAAGATGAACTGCTTTTAAGTGATGCACTTGGACCCATTGTTTCACGGGGGTTGGCAGTGTGGGGACAACGATCAGCTAATTTGATTCTGTTGCCGGTGTGGCCTTTCACGCCGTGACATGGGGCCCGATTGAAGATGTAATGAGGACCAGTAGCCTTTGTGCCCCGTGGAACAAGGAGACACCTGCTCTGTATGAATATGCATGGCTGCCGGGGCCATAAACGCCGCTTCTGTGTGTGCGGTCTTTGCTTAAAGCACAAAGCTCTGCACCAGCCTTTTCCAGGATGGCTGATGGTGACCCGCTTAGTGACTCGCGCTGTTAGCTTCCCGGCACTGATTTCACTTCTGTTCTGACGTAATCCAACATCTTACACGTTTATAGACCAATAAATATTTACAGAACATTTTTAGAACAAAGAATTGTTTGGCAATCAGCAAGGAACTGGCTGATTCTTTTTGGCTTGCATTGAATTAATGTTTTTTTTGTTTGTTTTTAAATTGCAGTGAATGAGGCTGTCCGTTAGCAGATGTGGTTGTGATGGCCCTTATTTAAACTGTAACCTGATCTTTTAGACCTGTTAACCCTCCAGCCTTTGGTATATACTCCGTAGGGTAGGGTATTCAACATGGCTGACCGTTTCCTGAGTCAACTGTGCTAAAATGCAGTAATCTGTTCCTTCCTGGGCTCCCAGGTTGGTGTTGAGTGTTGAATCCCTCTCAGAAGACCCTGCTTTAATGGTTTAACATGCTGATATGTCTCTTGGCTGTCAGCTGCTGCTTTAGTCTGGTGTCTGGCCTTCAAGGGACTGGCACTGCACCGGCTGGCTCAGCTTTGGGAAGACGTGACGTCTCATTGGTCAGATGCTCACAAAGATCCCATAATGCCTTTGGTTTCCTCTAAAAGAACATTTTGTTTTGTTTGAGGAGAAGGGGCTGTTCTGCATGGCAGGCAGCACAATGCAATAGCTGAGGGAAGCTGGGTATTTTTTAACGAATGTTGATTTTCTTTTTAGAAACCAGACTCCAAGCTACCGCCAGAAACTGCTTTGGGAGGGGGTCAACATGACGGGGGCCCTGAGAAAAGGAGGGGAGCTTTCAGTGTTGCCTTTGAGCCTTTTCTTTCGTGCTGTGGTCCATCTGCGTTTGACTGTGTTTTGGGAAGGACTGGATGGAATGTAATTCCTTAGAAATCTCAGACATTTGTGTGTGTGTGTGTGTGTGTGTGTTTGTATATCCACTGGAGGGGGCTCTCCAATGGCTGGCTTGCTTCTGGTGTGTATCTGAGAAACGTTAATTTCCTGGAATGCGTGTGTGAACAATGTCGGCCACCTCGCTTACCTTAATTGCACTGTTAAGCTGAATTGCAGGAGTAGCCATCAGGCTTGTAAATCCCACCTCTTCTCCCCCTCCCCCTCCAACAGGACACTCCAGCCAGCCAGATTGAGAGAGCTCACGTGGTAAGCATGTGGGGTCAAACAAGAGTCCCAGTCAGTGCATTCTCCAGTGGAGCTGGGATGTCCTGGTAGCTTGTGTGGCCCAGTCACTCCCAGTATCCCATGGGGGTGCGGAAGAGAGGATCGGCTGGAGTAAGCGTGTGCCGACCTCTCCGACCAGCTGGAGAATGGCGCCTCCTAAAACAGACCTCCCCATTTTTGTGCTCATCTCTCAGCCAAATGCGGCCTGTCTCTGCAATGGTCCCAGCAGGGGATTGGTAGCTATGGCCGGGGAAGGTGTTTTGTGTGTGTGTGTGTGTGTGTGTGTGTGTGTGTGTGTGAGACGTGTGTCTCTTTCCAGATTGATTCCAGGCTGATTCCAGTTCTCTGAATCTACTTTAAGATCAGAGAGCACTAGATTCTTCATGTTCTTTTTCAAAGAAAAGGTAGATTAAAGCCCTCAGTCGAGATAAGTGTTGTTTTTCCTTACTTTCTTCCCCCCCCCCCCCCCCCCTGCTTTTGTTCAGTAACTGAATTACGGAGAGATAAACCCCTTCAGAAGGCCGTTTTATCTCTGAGCACAGGTGTCTGACTCCTGCTTCCAACGTCACTCTTTTCATGGCTTCTCCAGTTTTCCCGGCCCGGTGTAACATTCCCTTCAGCTGTGAAAGAACTTCTGTGTTTTGGTGCCTCTCCCTCAGCTCGTGTCGTAGGCTTTCAGGTTTTACTTCGATCTCTCCGGCTCTTTATTAGCGTTCAGTATGACATTTTGGAGACTCTTGTATACACAACTGCTATATTTCATTTTTATCCTCTGTAGAATATATTGTTTTTGCTTATGTCCTTCATAATATGCATGCCACTCTGTTATGTCAAAGCTTTAAGATGACATCACATGTGTGGGGGTGTGCTTTATACCATCCCAACACATAATTTATGTAAAAATAATCTACACTTTATTTCCCCTAGATCACAGGACGGTATTTGGATTGTGAAATATGGCAAAATACACTAGAGTGCTTGTAAACAATATTTTGCTTTTAGCTCTCTTCCATTAGATTTCCGGTTGTGTGGCATCTAAATCCCCAGTGTGTGACAGCACTTAAGGGAACAAACACCCCTCGGTGTCTCTTGACAACAGCGCCTGTCTGTCGTGGTCATGTGTTTGAACACCGCCTCCCTTCCCATTGTCTAAAATAGCAAGGCTAGGGTGATGTCATTGTTTCGTTCGCCCTCTAAAAGCTGTGTTTTCAGCTCCAAGCTCTGGGAGCATAAGGATGAGAAACTTAAGTCGGATAAACAGGGAACACCTCGCTGTAGGAGCCTCGCTGTGTTTATCCTGGAGAACAGCGGCAGACTAAAGATCTGGGGAGATGGTGCTGCTGAGGCTGGAGATGACCGGCTTACTGGTGAAAGTGCAGGTTGAAGTTGAGGATTTACCCAGAACTGACCTTCACTCCCTCTCGGCGTTGCAAGGCAGACCTTTTGCCGTAATGACTCGCTAAGCTTCTCTTGCAGCACTGTCATAGTGAGCTTGTGCGTTGATGAGTCCTGGATACCCCCCCACCCGTTTTCTGTCCGCCTAAACACTGCCGATCCATTTACCATGACTCTGTCATGTAAGACAAAGACTTTGCCAGCCTGCCCCACTTAGACTAATTCCCGTGCAAACGACTTTGATCATTCAGTGCTTATCTTCCGCCTCAATGCTAATCAGTAAGCCAGGAGACGCGGGTGTGTGCAGGGGGGAGGGGTTTATGCCGGAGTCTGGGCCTGCCCTTGCAGAGGACTCTGGGGCTCTGCGGATAGGCCGTCGCTCCAGGTTGATAGGTCAGCACTCTCTCTGACCCCTAATGCAGGCCTCCTGGGGTGTGTTCTTCGTCTTTGGCCTTTCTCGTTTTTAGGGAGGTCATTTGTAAAGCCCCCCACTTGGCCTCTGTCCTGGTGGGGGTTGCTAATGGTTGTGTTGATCCAGCGAGGAGAACCTGAGGACACAAAGTGTGTGTGTTCAGGTGTCGCTTGAGACGCACATATCCTGTGTAAACTTCAATTTAACACGCTTTCTTGTGTTCATTCTTAATTCTCCAAACTGATAATTAGCCAAAGACAAATTATGTGTTATTTCTAGCAGAGTAAAACAAGCCGCTTTGATTTCTGCAGACTAGTATTGATATTTGCTTGGTGTCCCCATCTGTGCCTTTTGTTTTAAGTCAAATTTGACCAACCAGTCCGTTCAGGATGTAGGATAGTTTGTCAAGTTTGGTCCTCTTGCCAGAATGTTAAGGTTTACTGAGGGGTTGTTCATCTTAGGGTCTTTTTTTGCTGCATCTGTCATCTGCGGATGATGGTGGTTGGTGAATGTGTGTGGACAGGATGACCCCTGCCCGGGACGGTCTACGTGCGTTGGCGCAAGAGCTGCTAACGTCTCGAGTGAGGTTCCGGGCTACCTCAAGAAGACCTTGCCTTCTCTGCAGCTTCATCTGGCGCTCGAGCGGCAGAGTGCAAAAATGTAAATTGCATGGAATTCTTGGGTTTAAAAATAAACAGTGGGAGAGATGAAGCCAGCTCCCAAAAACGTTCCTGACCAAGCAGGCAGGACGTCCCCGAGCTCCAGCCAAGCAGGAAAAATTTCAAGCAATGTTTAGATTTCAGAGAATGGAGGTTTTGGTCGTGGTGGACAGAGCAGCTGGGCAGAGCACTTGGAGAGTTGTCGGTGGAGGTTCGGCGCTATCTGATGACACACAAACAGACACATCAACTCACTAAAGTGAAAAATATCATTTGGCTTTACCTTGACATGTCATGGAATGAACCAGATTAGCAGGCTGGTGTCTCAGGGGTGGTCAACTTCTCTTTGCCGAACCACTGCTAATCTCCTAATCGGGACAGTGATTCGCAAAATTTAAGAGATAAAGCAGGCTCCAGAGGATGTAAGCATATCTGTAATTAAGAGCGTGAGGAGCCTTATATGAGTGGCCATTCAGCCTTTGTTTAATAATGTTGACACAGCCGTGTCTTCTGCTTATTAGATTTTGCTTCTGCCTCGGTGGTACGACATCATTTCTCTCAGCTGAGCTGGTTCTCACCCAGCTTTCAGCTGCAGCCTTAAATCAATACTAACATTTAACTTGCTCATTCTTCATTCACTCGTCACCCGGTGCGACTTTTTCGAAGAGCGATGACAGGAGCTGTACACTGGGGAAGGAGGGGTGGAAATTCTTTCTTGGGCTGAGCCACGGAGATCTAGAGCAAGGGGCCGGGCAGGGGCCTGTGTTAACATTCCTATTGTCCTGCCCACTCCATTCCAGATGACCCAAGATGAGCTGGAGTGGCGTCTGAGAGAAGAGGAGCAGGACCATGTAGATGGACAGAGTTCCTGCTGAGGACAGACTCCAGCACTGGTGAACGCAGCTGAAGAAGTCCAGGAGGTGGGTTTGTCCACTGGGGCCTCGGTGTGGAGAACCGCCAGAGCCGGCATTGAACTCTGGGGCAGTACTCTGAAGACCAAGGGTATACCGTAGCCTCCCATTCCTCGCCTTGGTCGTAGGTTGTAGCCGTGGATGTGTAAAGGTGGCCGGTCAAGATGGCTGCCTCTGATCCGATGTGCTGAGGAATGAAAGCAGCCTAGTGGGTATTTCCTTTAAAAGCTGCACTCAGTCACATGTCACTCATAGCACAGCCGGGTCTCCTTTTCAGGGGTCCACTGAGAGAGGGGAGATGGCAGGAAAATACATGGCTGCGTACATTTATTTCAGATACGGAACTCTGTAATGCTTGACATGCTACTGTAAACAGCTGGCGCCAGTTTTCCATATTGTATAATGTAGCACTCACAAGAGAGTTGAGTTCATCAATATTAATGTTGACCCAAGACAAATTTTATCTGGCATATAAATTAATATTCAAAACAAAAAAATAGATGTTTATTTTTCTCTTTTCTTTTTTTTCTTGCTAGATAAGGATGGGCAATTCTGAGAGCCAGTACAGCATCCAGGGACCTAAGGGCGGCAGTTTAATCCTCACCGGGAAACGCAAACCGTCTTCTCTGAAGTTCTGCTCGTCCAAGGAGGAGGCCCTGTCTCCCCAGACGTGGTGGAGAGGTGGGATCGGGGGTTCAGGGTACAAGTCCCGTGCCGCTGGTCGTGGCTGGCTGTCCCAGCATAAGGGCGGGCAGCCGTACGTCTCCCGCCACTACGACTATGTCGCCAAAGGTGGCAAGGTAGGCGGAGCCAGCAAGCAGCAGGCCTGTTCGCCTGAGAGATCAGGTTGCGGCCTACTCATGCCCTCTGAGAACGGCTATTGCTGTGTTAATGGCGCCCAACCAGAGGGGAACGGCTTCAAGGCGGCCAGCAGAGCACGCAATGGGCACACTGTGAATGGGTGTAGACCGTCACCGGCAAGCATCTCCTCCACGGGCTCTGGTGAGAATAGTAGTCCCAAGGTGCTCATCAAGAAGGATGGGAGCCTGCGTGTGGAGTTCACCAACAACAGCAAGCTGACGCTGGATGATTCCACTGGTCCGGTGCAGCTTCTCAAATTCTGCCCGACCGTGGAGTCCACACCTAGCCACTGTTCACGAGTGACCGGCGTGGAAGAGTTTCCAGAGGCCCTGTTGTCCGGTGACCAGGCGGACCCTGCCTCTAGGGCCAGCAAAAGCAGCTCCCTAAGTTCTGAGGGCTCCTGGTACGATGCACCCTGGGGAAATGGGGTAGAACTTGGTGAAATGGACACTGTATGTTCCTCGGGTGTTGGCCGTAGCAGTAGCACACCTCCGGTGTCCTTCTCAGAACTGTACCGGGACCCCAGCATGGGTGGTACTCTGCCAGCGGCCGAACACTCTCCCGTGCCCTTCCTGGTTCTCCCAGGTACTGGGCATCGCGCTTCCTTCACGGATGTCCTAGATGTGCCAGTCAAGGAGGGGTACCTAGGAGCCAAGCAGTACAGCTCCTACACGCTGCCGTGCCGCAAGGCCCGTCCCAGTCCCAGTCCCGAGGGCAGCGCCAAGAAGGATTCCCTCAAGAGTCGCATGCGGAACTTCAGTGACTGGACAGGAAGCCTGAGCAGGAAGAAGAGAAAAGTGCAGGTAAGCTTAGGGGCACAAACTCGGCTTGTCTGCCACCATCACACTGTCTCAGTGGAATTTTCCGTGACTTCATTGTTTTTTGGTCCATTATTAGTTTAGTGACGCATATTTTCTAAGAGATGCCATTTTTAAATGTGTTGTGGTGAAAATGTTTTTCAATCTCCTTCCTAGTTTCTAATATTGGGGATGTGGCTAAATGACTCAGACACATCAATGGCAACGTTTAATTGCCAATAGTGAGGTCTTGCACGTAAGGTGAGGCGTGAGCCCTGTTGACGTAGGGGGTGCTCTTCTTCCCGCTTCTGGTGCGTAGGGTGCGGCTGGTCAGGGCTTGCAGTGGTAAGAACTGTTCCCAAATTTGTACGTTATCTCGTCGGCTGCATCGCAGCCTCTCCTCCGCACCCTCCCTTCGGCGTCTGGAAGGCCAGTCTCAGACAGCTTTTCCTCCACGGGGGAGTTCTTCCGTTTCTGGCTTATCCTGACACTTTACGGGTGCAGTTAATTCCCAGCTCGTAGAGGAGGTGCTGATCACCCTGGCGGCTTCCTGGCCCCTGACTCCCCGGTCCAAGAACAAGGTGCTATGCCCACTCCCGTCCACCAGGTGTCCCGTGCCAGGGACGGGGCACCAGCTGTCCCCGAGGACGCTGCGGAGCTCCGGACAGTGACGTTCGGAGCTGTAATGGGAAGGCACAATTGTGAGCGGATGCAAGCAGACAAGCTGTAGGATGTAGGGGATGGTGACATGGGAAGCAAGTGGGTCTTCCGAGAAGACGCCTCTGTCAGGGTGGGTAAGCTGGGATCGACTCGCTGTAGTGCGTCACTGGTCATTTGCCGTGCGTTAGTCAGCAAATGAGCAGCGAAGTTTAGGTTGTGCTTAGCAGCTGTCAGGCTGAAAGTATAAGAGTGACGGAGGGTTAGGGCTGATGCCCCCTTTCATTTGAAATGTTTCATTTTTATGTGAATGTTAAAATGATCATGATACTAATTTGCTTGTGGAAAGCTGTACATCAGCACTGTTGATGTAGCATCTGTGCTAAAGTAAAAAAGTAAAAGAATAACTGAAATAGCAGTGTTAGTAGTAGATTCTGTGGATAAAAGAAACAGTGACCTAAGTTGGCTTCAGACTGAGGTCTCAGATGCCTGTCAGGCGTGTCCTAAACAGGCCCGCGTTGACGAACGCTGACCTCTGTGTCTGAAGTGGTTCCAACCGAGTAAGTAAACAGACTCGTGCAATGGGAACAGCTACCGCAAATGCCGTGTGATACAGTCGGCGTGTAACGCGCCACACCCGCCAGACGGCTGTTGTTGCCGTGTGCATGGTCCCTCTTGCCGATTGAGCGCTCTGGTGAACCTTGGCCCAGATCAGCACCGGGAAAAGCTTTCCAACTGAATTAAATTTAAAAAAAAAATAACAATAATAATAAAATTATAAAAAAAATAACCCAGGGTTCGAAACCAGCTTGCTGAAACAGGGCTTAGGGAGATGTAGTGGGGACTGTCTTCATTTGCACGAATTATCGTTAACATGTTGCATTTTATAAATAATTTAAGAGTCATGGTTTGTGTTTTTTTTCTTACGCGGAATTCAGTGCTAATTGAATGTTTGAAATATGTTTTAGATGTTAAAAGTTTTTTGATTTCCAAATGCTAAGTGCTAATTCAGGTATAGTGCAGCTTGGGCTACATTTAGATGCCGCTGATGAATACGGTGGTGATTTCCCAGCTCAGCGGTGGGATTTAGCTGAGGACTTCCCCCTTCCCTGTTTTCCTCTGTTGGCTCTGCTTGTCTTGGCCTGAACACTGAGCGCATCTGACTGGTTCTGGAAACCCTTGAAGGGCCTGAACTCAATCCCTGGGCCAAACCAGGCTAAGTGGGGGCAGACGGGTGCCTTCGTTTACCTCCCAGCTATGGGGGACGGGGGGGCAGCTCCTCCTGGACGTGGGGTCTGTCCTTCCCAATTAGCCTTTCTGTGTGCATAAGCCCACAGTGGTCTGGTTAGTCCGGTAATCCTGGCGAGAGCCTGGGTGCGGCGGGGGGGTGGGGGCCTGCGTGACTCTCGTCCTCCGTTTGTATCATGAGGCATGGAGGGCAACCGGCCACAGGTGTGCTGTCCCGCTCTTATGATGTCACAGTCAGTCCTCAGCACACTCTATAAATGCTGCCCACTCTGATTCACGATCCTTTAAACTGTTTCCTTTGGGATTATAAAAGTGTTCTGATGCTGATTGACTCTGATTCCCTCGCTCTGTAGTGTGGTATCAGAGACTTTGTCAGACCTACCAAGACGAATTAAAATTGCTGTTTTGGAATCAGCTTCAAGAGACCATTTGGAGGGTAAATGCCTTGTTGGGTTTCGTGACCTAAAGATTGAGCTCCTAGCCATTACCGTTAAAAGTTCTGCTCGTGCCCCCCCAGCTCGGATGCCTGCCAGCTAAGGTCTGACTGGCTTAATTAGGTGCAACGTTTTGGCTCTATTAAAACAAGCTGCAGAATATCGTGGCTCCGGGGTTGGGGGGGCATTAAACTGGAGGGGGGCCTCCAGATCCCTTCGTCTCCGTGTCGGGGGGGGGGGGGGTGCCGAAAAACACACACCCCCCCCCCCCCCCCCCCCCCCATTGGAGAGGGAAGCTGGTCCTTCCCTAGATGAGTCAGGGGGCTAATGAGGGCCAGCTGCTGAAAGGGGCAGGTAATGCTGAGTTTCAGATCATTTCCAAACAAAAACAGGCTGAAAAGCCGAGCGTGGGAATGAAATTCGGGATGGGGAGTTTGAATGATGACTGCAGGTTCTGATTTTCTACAGTGCAGTGACTGCTGTAACCATAGTAATAGCTATGTTCCTGCTCTCCAAACAGCAGATGCTTCTTATATTCTTAAGGTTTCCTCCGGGATTAATACTAAAAGTATTCAGATTCTAATGTATCTGTGACGCGCAAGCAGACCTGTGCTGACGGTGTGTTACGAATCACACTTTTAAACAGGCTAATGATTAAGAATCTGCTTCGACTTCCCTGTGTCTGTCCTGGTAGGAGCCCAGGAACAAGGAGGCCGTCGAGTGCTTCGACAGCGGCGTGGACGGCCTGACGGCCGACACCAGCTCGCCCTCCCAGGGCTCCAGCCTGCTGTGGTACCCGGGCGCGGCACAGCCCCCTCCCGCCCGCAGCGAGTCCGCCAGCGCCCTCCACGGCAACGGCACCCTGCGGCAGAACATCTACGAGAACTTCATGCGTGAGCTGGAGACCGGCGGGGGTGGGGTGGAGCAGGGCGCCTCCACGGAGACGGAGGACACCAGCAGCGATTCGCTGGGCTCCCTGGAACAGCTGGACCAGCTGCTGGAGAAGGAGCAGGGCGTGGTGCGCCGGGCAGGCTGGCTCTCCTTCAAGCCCCTGGTGACCCTGCACAAGGACAGGAAGCTGGAGCTGGTGACCCGGCGAAAGTGGAGGCAGTACTGGGTCACACTCAAAGGTGAGGCTGGGATCCTCTGCATTCTCTTTCATACCTTCCTCTAATACCTTACCCAGAGAGCCTGCAGGGGGCGACGATGAGCCGTCCTACAGCTCTCGCACCCGGGGCACCACCTTCTCCCCCTTTAGCCTATTAGGAGCTTACGGGGAATTACGTGCTGTAATCTGCGCTCTTCACCTGCCACTGCCAGCTGACGATCCATGTAAATTTCTTTAAGGCGTCAAAAAAAAAGTAATATTTTAAAAACATTGGTGTGAGAAAGTCATGCAGTACTTGTTTGTTATCATGGGATCTGGTGCATCGCAATGCTTGTTTTTGCGTAGCTCTTCTTGCTCTCCTTTGACATATATACACATGTGCAGATGTCTTGGGGTCAGAGCGTAGGGTCAGCTGTTTATCTGGTGTCCCTGAGGTATTTTTTTGGGGGGATTAAGGGCTTAACAGTGGTGCGATCGTGCTGCCGAACATGGGATTTGAACCGGCAACCTTCCGATCATAGGCACAGAGCTCCCCCCCCCACTCCATCTTCATGCTGATTACCGTGCTGCAGGTTCTTCTGTGGGCAGTGTCGTTTTTTACATAGTTCAGGTTTCAGTTGGTTGAAGTCCCAGATATGATGCTTCGTAAGCTAAATGCTCCTCCTCTCAGTGGGCGGGGGTACAAAGGCAGTGCTTGTCCCTGTGCCGAGGCAGCAGGGGTGCCCGCTGACCCGTGCGGTCCGCAGGGGAAGCTGGACTCGCTGGCACGCCGTCCGCTCCCACCACCCAAGGCAATGTGACCCGGAGTACAGTAGCTCTGTTGAGCGAGAGCCGCTAACTCAGCTAATGACATTTTGCTAAGTGGGAGTCGGGATTACCTTTCCGTCGCAGGTCTCTCGCCTCCCGCACCATGTGACACTATTTTTAAAATCTTGCTCTCACAAAGATGACCAGTGACCTGGCGAATTCGCCAGTGCTCGTCGGCCTCGATCGCGGCCCTTCCTCCGCAACTTCCCAGAGCCCCAACTTGGTCCTTGTTCCTTAGGCTGCACGCTGCTGTTCTACGAGACGTACAGCAAGAGCACCGCCGAGCAGGACCTGTCCCCCCGCTATGCCCTCTTTGCTGAGGACAGCGTTGTGCAGTCCGTCCCCGAGCACCCCAAAAAGGAGAACGTCTTCTGCCTGAGCAATTCCTACGGCGACGTCTACCTCTTCCAGGTAAGAGCCCTCCTGCACGTGAGCAGAAAGTTTTGAGGCGTGTGGGTTGGCCTTTGGACATCATTCTCAACCTCATTGTACCAGCACCCAATCAGGAGACCCCCCCCACCCCCCTTACCAGAACCCAGATGGATTTCCTGTGCTGGAATGCATCGTTTTGTTGGCCTGATTACCGGTTTACCATCATGTGGGCTGACGGTAGAAATCTATTGCAGAAATGAGAACTAGAAGAGGTGTTTTTTGGAAAATTGTGTTTGTTTCTCTCCTTCCTGTTAGCACAGCTTGGTTCTTTAACAGTATCTTGCCTCGTCGGCCCTGTGAGATCTCATGACACATTCCTGCCTTGCATTTCCTCACCAGTTTTACTGGTCTGGATGCCCTTTACCCACCAAAGATGGCTTTGCGTGAACCTTTTCTCCAAAGTCACAACTGCCATCTGTATTATCTGTCCTTTGATCATTATTTTGGACGTTACTTTGTATGACGTGGACAGAGTAGCAACAGCGCATGAAACAGAATGGAAAACATCCCATTGAGGAATGAAAAGGCGCAGCCAGCGTGGTTTCGGGGCCATTCCTGCAGACATTCGTCTGTTGGTTGGCTACTAACTTTTGGAAACAGTATCGTCTTGGTGTTCGGCATCCTCTGTCCTGGGCTACAAGCTCGACTCTGTGAGGCACACAAGAGCGCCAGTGTGTTGTCCAGGGGAGCCCCCATAAGGTCATGCAGGAAAGCAGACTCCGCCAAGACCATCTGGAAAATGCCATCTTAGAAACTGGCACTTGAGCAGGACGCCCTGTTCCCCAGCGCAGTGACTCAGCAGGACCCCTGGTGCAGGCCCAGTTCCCTCCATTAGGGAAACACCCCAGACACATAAATAAACCTTGAAAGCACCATGTTCTGTCCTCTCCATGGGTGTTTCTCCATACCAAGAACATACTTGTCTTGCTATCTTGCCTTCCAAGAATGAACTTAGGACACAATGAATCATAAGATTGGTCTCATTTGGTGAAGATGCAACCAATGTATCCTAGAAGTTCAAGTTGGGGCAAGAACGTCCTCTATACTTCTGTTCTTAGTATTGGAACCGGTCTTCGGCAATGGAAGATGACGTAAAATGGGTACATGAGAAGACAAGTATGGTTGAGCACACATATGGAGAAACGCCCCATGTTTTCCTAGCGTTTGAAGGTACTTCAGGGCAGTGACTCATCATCCCCCCCCTTGCAGGCGAGCAGCCAGACGGATCTGGAGAACTGGGTGACAGCGGTGCACTCGGCCTGTGCCTCCCTGTTCGCCAGGCGCCACGGCAAGGAGGACACAGTGCGCCTCCTGCGGAGCCAGACCCGTGGCCTCCTGCAGAAGATCGACATGGACGGCAAGATGAAGAAGATGGCTGAGCTGCAGCTGTCCATCGTCAGCGACCCCAGGAACCGCAAAGCCATCGAGAGCCAGGTAAGGCCGCGTCAGGCTTCTGTGTCCACGGCAACGGCCCGGCTCAGCAACGAGTGGCCAATGTTTGGCACCCCACCCTCATAACTTTAATGATTATTTTGTGAACCTTTGGCCTTCCCCTGACTTCTTAGCCACAAAGGACGATATTTGCTCCAAGTGCTCTTTTTTCCCCGTCTAATGAGCCCGGTTTGGTGCAGCGTGTGCATGCTGTGGCGAAGTCTTGGATCTGGAGCAAAAACCATGTTTGTTTCATTCCCAAGACCTGGTTTTCTGATGGAAAGCAGACAGTTATAGGTGCAAGTGAAGGTTGTGTCCCAAACAACATATGTGAAACATCTCCATGCTAACTGGGTTTAATCAGCCCCACCTTTTAAATATCTCACTCTCTGCTGGTGCTGGATGCTCTGTGGTTCATGAAATATTTTTCTTTACCATCCATTAGTAACAGGAAGTCTTAAAAGAAAATTAGCTTTAATGCTGTACAAACAAAATGACACCCCGCCACAATTTGTGGGGGAAAGGAAGATAATCAGCCTAATTTTAGCACCGCTGTAGTTGTTTGCATTTTATTGAAAGCTTGGGGGAATAAAGGCATGCAGACACACGCGCACACACACACACACACACACACACACACACCCTGAAGGCTTGGAAAGCTCTAAACATCTCGTTCCTCTGAATTGCAGATGCTCTGTGGTAATGGGGTCTTTTCCTGTGTTATACCCTCTTTAAAGGCTCTTGCCCTGTGTTATACCCTCTTTAAAGGCTCTTGCCCTGTGTTATACCCTCTTTAAAGGCTCTGTGCTGAATGAACCAGACGACACTGTGGAAACACTCTGTGTCAAACTGTGAACTGCCGTCCTCTCTGCTGCCAGCCGTAAATGAGCAAATGAGAGAGATTTATTGGGAGGTAATTAAGGAAGGGGGTCAGTCTGTCCCAAAGGCCTTTTCTCAGGCTACCTGGCCACTGTTTTTCCTGGGGGCCATCAAGGGACAGACCTCAAAGAGCAGACCTGTGGCACAGCTGGAATGCATCGCCACCATGCGCGGCTGCTCCCGCCCCATCCATCTGCTTGCTTTCCCTGCTACAGGAAGCAATTGGTGACAAGAAACGCCGAGTCACCGTTCTCAGCAGGAGGCATGGCTATGGTTTTCAATTGGGGTGGTGCCTTGCATGGAAGGAAGCTCTGCACCTAAGGTTAAAGGTCAGAGGGTGTAGCTGGGTGGGGTGGTGGGGGGGGGGGGGTGTGCCAGTCTAGGATATGGCCTCTAGTCTCTCTGGAGCCCTGACTACTTTGATGTGCCCCCCTGCTCCCAAAATCAATACCAGGAGGCCTTTTGAAGTCTTCGTCTCCAAAGAATCTTGTCACAGTTCAAACGCTTGGGCAGCTGCCCTTTTGGGGGCACGGTGGAGGGAAAAGGAGGCCTGGTGGAATATCCCCCCCCCCCCCCCCACCCGTGTTTAACGAGAGGCAAGAATGCGACCGAATAGTGTGCCGTTTAATCTGTTGACTCGATTTGTCCAGATGGTCGCAATATGCGACGGCAGCCACCGCGGTGACTCAGGCATTGCGCCCTGCGTGAGACTGTGTGCGACCGCGCATGTTCTGCTATCTGGGTGATTTTCCTCCATGCAACACACCGCAGCCTTTACTGCGCGACCTGCACAGGCTCCATGTATGTCTGCGTGTAAGAAGGGCGGGGCATTGCCGCATTTATGTTGAGCAGTGTCCGTCTTTGTCAGATAGTCATGTTGTGTGTGGTTTTTTTTTTGGTTTCTTCATTACCAGACCAGGGTGGGAATGACGCATGCAATAAAAAATGCATTATTCCTTGGCTAGAACATTAATGGCTAATGGTAACGCTTTCACAGAACAAAACATGTTAGATAAGAGAAACATCTTCATTTCGTTAGGAGAATAAGAACAGAGTTTTGGGCATGTGAGCTTAGTCTCATTACTAATGATTCATTGCTTGATGCTGTTGTTAGGGCTACACTGAGGATATAATGGCCACATATAATTTTGCTTGTGCTGAGAGGAAAAAATTGCAAAGAATATGGTTCATAACGATGTCAGGTGTACCATGGCAGTGACCCTGGGTGGTATAACCAAACACATATTCCAGTCTCTGAGGTTTTTGGTAGTGATGCCTGGTCACATGAAGCTATTCCGGCCGTTACCTTTTTTTGCTGCGTTTTTAGTTATGAAATCACAGCCAAAACACACCAGGGTCACATCCACACTAGATAACAAAATGTTTGTGATACGTCCAGTGTTTCGTAATCCGGTCCTGGGGGACCCGCAGAACCACAGCTGCCGGGAGCAAAAACATGGACCGTCTGGGTCCCTGAGGATCGGATTGGAAAACATTGAGTGTGATCAGGTCCTTGGCATGACCTGATATAGGTTCACGCATTTTGTGGATTGGGGGGGGTGGGGGGTTGTGGCTCTGGAATCAGTCATTTGCCTCCTTGTCTGATTTTTTATTGAGGTGAATAACTGAAATGTCAGGCCGGGATTAGATGTCTACCTCCCCCCCTCCAGACCTGCCTGCCACATCTGAAAGCAATTACAACCCTGTGGAATTCCTCCTAACCCAAATCCCCCCCCTCCCACCCCCACCACCTAGATCCAGCAGTGGGAGCAGAACCTGGAGAAGTTCAACATGGACCTGTTCCGCATGCGCTGCTACCTGGCCAGCCTGCAGGGCGNCCCACCACCTAGATCCAGCAGTGGGAGCAGAACCTGGAGAAGTTCAACATGGACCTGTTCCGCATGCGCTGCTACCTGGCCAGCCTGCAGGGCGGCGAGCTTCCCAACCCCAAGAGCCTGCTGGCCACTGCCAGTCGGCCCTCTAAGATGGCGCTGGGGCGCCTGGGCATCTTCTCTGTGTCTTCCTTTCACGCCCTGGTGAGTGACGAGCCTGGAGGTTGGGCTGGAGCTGGACTGTGACCGTTAAGGTCTCATCTGAGAACAATTTGGATGGCTTTCAAACACAGACTCTCTGTTCTAGTCATTATCTTAAGATTTAGATCTCCCCCACCTTCCCAAACAGCCCTTTTAAGATTAATTTTGGGTCACTGCATCATTAATGCAAAGCACCACCATGTGGTTTTCATAGCTGGTCGGTTTTCTCCAGGTCCGCACGGTCAGAGTTGCATGAGTTGCACGGCCTGTTCTCTCTCCTGTTCTCTCTCCTGTTCTCTCTCCTGTTCTCTCTCCAGCCCCGGTCCTGCTGTGCCGTCTGCCGCCCGGCGCCTCGGACGGCTTCTCACTTTCCTGGTGTTTTTCCGTCCCCAGATCTGCTCCCGGGACGAGGCCAGCATGCGAAAGCGCTCACTCTCGGCTTCCCAGAAGATGCGCAGCAAGCGGGGGCTGTTCTCCTCGCTGAAGGGCCTGGACAACCTGACCAAGCGAGGCCGGGAGAAGAGGCCATCCGTGTCGCAGGTAACAACAGGCTCGCCCGCCCTGGGTGTGCAGGTCAGCAGCCATGATTGTTTGCGATGTTTTCCTGGACATTTCTGCTCGTGACTTTGTCATCTGGGTGTCCGGAGCACCGAAACTTTTATAATGGCACCGAAAAATATTAAGGGACGTGAACCTTTAAAGCCTTGAAGGTCACTGTCTTGTCATAAGTCTCTGCAGATGAATGTTCTGCACCCATGCGGAGATCCTGCACACACACCTGTTTGTTGCCTCTTCACCCACCCCACTGGAAATTATACTCAGACTTTAAATCCTGTCCATCATCAGCTGTTCCATGCATGTTCCGAGGTCAGAGAATAGGTGGTCTGTTGGGGTCTGGGGAACATCTGACTTGTTCTTTTGAGCCTCAAGGTAGCAATCCCATAAAAGTCTTATTCCTGGATTTCCAATGATTGCTAACTGTCCACTTCCTCCAAATTAGAACTTCTCAGGTTGTGTTGTGTCCCACTGTAGAGGGAACTTTTGAGTTTGTCTGTGTCTATCTGTCTGTGTGCGCGTGCATGCGTGCAGGTTTGTAAGCGTTTGTGTGCGTGCCTGTGTGTGTGTATGTGTGTGTGTGTGTGTGCGTGCATAAGTGTGTCTGTGTGTGTCTTTGCGTGTGTGTGTATTTATCTGTGTGTGTGTGTGTGTGTGTGTGTGCAAAGCGTGCACGCGCTGTGCTCACACACGTATGCTGATACTGATGCACAGTGAGCACAGGGTCAGGTCCATGCTTAGGTTATAGCAGCATTAAATCTGCTGAGCCTGGACCAAACATCCCTGGGAAAAGCTGTGTAGCTCTTCATTTCCCGAACGGGGCTCCTCCGGCCTCTGGGGGGAGGGTTTGCAGCAAGCCGTGACCAGCCCCACGGCGACAGATGGTTTGTATGCTTGTATGCACCTCTGTCATCCATTAAATATTAAAGAACCCCCATTTCCAGGGTACCCTGCTTCCTATTGGCAGTTCCTTTAAAAAAAAACCTTTAAGAAAGATGCTGATGGATGCTGGACGTGCCTGCATGACCTTGAGAATATATAACTTTTTATTTATCCCATTAGAGACAGAAAATGTACTGTCGTTTGTCCCCCCCACCCCCCAATCAACCTATCCTGACCTGTCAATGGAGCCACTAGCATCATTAACGCTTCCACCTGGGTGAAAATGCACCAATGACGTTGCCTGTAACAAAAAGCAAACCTGGTCCCTGCCAGTGGGCACCTGGCTTTCATATGACATTACAGGGGCTGCATATATGCCATTTACACCCGTCAGCTGAGTCTGAGTTTTGTTTCTTGCCTTGGGGGGTGTATAAGGTGGTTGGAGCTTATTGACTGGCAAATACGAGGGCCAGCCCTGGCCAGGTAAAGGAGAGCTCGTCTAACAGTGGGGCATTATGGGAAGGCGGTGATAGCATCCCCGCGGCGAGCCCTGCTCGGCGCTTTCCCCACATACCCACTTGTACTCGACTGTGCTGTGTCGTGCTGGTAACAGGCTCTGGCCTTCCAACAAAAGCACTCCAGACCCAGCTTCAGACGTACCAGTCAGCAGCTTAGTCACCCAGGCTGGAAATCTCTACGGCGACAGGACGCGTCACAGTCCTGGGAGGGGCTGGCGAGAGCCACCCACGGGCCAGACCCTTTTCATCTGTCGGGCCCGGAGCGCTAATTCCAGCAGCACTACACCGCTTATTATTTCCAGTACGGCCTCAGAGGTTGGCTTTATTTCCCAGTTTTCTGTACAGGAATAGTATCAAAGCAAGAGGTTGATCTGCTTTTTAATTAAATGCAAACTGGAGACTCTCTTACAAGGTTAGTGTTTCCTCACTGAAAGGATGACAGGGTCTTTGTTTATTTGTCTGTAACTGCTGGTCTGTCTGGCGTCTGTCCCTCCTGCAGATCTTTGACAGTAACGCCGGGGGGCAGCTCAGCCTTTTCCCTCCCAGCAGCTCCGAGGTGAGTTGGACCCCCCGCCCCCTTTGAGTCTCATGTTTCACTCTTTCACTCAGCAGTTTGATCATGTTCTGTTCATTCAGTTCTTGTTCATTTAGAGTTGGGTTCATCATCTACTGGAGCTGGAGTAGTGAAGCCCCAACAGCCTGTTGGCTTGTGTGTGTGTGTGTGTGTGTGTATGGGGGGGGGTTACATATATAGAGACCAAATGTCCACACAATTTGATAAAAACCTGTTATTTTTGACATGGGGGTCATTATTTTCAGTCACCACATGGGGAAAATTAATTTCATAAAAATCTGACTGCAGTCGAGTGACTAAAAATGCCAAAACGTCTTGTTTTTTGTTTGGTTACTTGTGGTTAAGGTTAGGGCTGGGTGGGGGTTAAGGGTGTCATTGCTGGGATTACGGTGTTTCCCATAGAAATCACTCACCTACTCACCTACTACTCACCCACTACTCACCCACTCACTCACTAACACACACACATTGGGCCACAATGGCACCAGCCCCAACTGACATCTGTTTGGCCCCTGAGGTTCTCCTCCTGTGTCCTTCATCATTAGTCAATGATAAGTTTGCCCCCTCTGTTTGAATTATGACCCCCTCTTATGCTCCCCCACCTTAAAAAAAAATCTTACAATTGATTATTATGCCCTTATCATGCTGCCAGTTGCTTAATGACTTGACCCCCTTCCCATCCTGCTTATGATTGTTGTAAACCGACCTTCAGCCGCGGATGGTCGCTCCAGCCCACGTGGCTTTCAAACCGTTTCTTGCATTAGTAAGTTTTATTTCTTCCTAACATTTCATGTCTTTCAGTTTTGTCTTGGTAAGCGCCGTTTTTCCAGCATTGATACTGTTCCCTGCTTTAGGTTTGTGTCCATTGTTCCTCTCCACCATTAAAATGTGAACATAGGAACTGAGGGGATTTGGCCCGTAGCTCTGAGTCGGTGCCGTCCGTTGCTTTATGGTTTTATGTGCGGGCTGTTGCAGTCGGCAGAATCCCAGTAAGCTGTCCCCAAGTGAGGGATGTTCCTCTGTTTCTAATAGGATTTTATGGTCTTGGAAAAAAAGACAGACAATCAAAAGAGTTAGAATCCATAGCCAGGGCTGAACAGGTTCAGTTAAATGCTGGATTTTCCTCCCCCTTTGCTTAACAGGTTCTTGGATTATCCCTCTACAACTGAACTTTCCCTTGAACTGTAGCCCCGAAAACATTTGCCTCTTCTCCGCTCCCTTTCTAAAGCAGGAGCCTAGGGAGGGAACGCCGCCCTTCGTGTGTCAAAGGGGTGTTGGGTTGCCCTGAACCTTAGCAGGGACCTCATGTCAGACCATGAGGCATGTGTCCAAGCGTACAGCTCTGCAAGACGGATGAGTGAACCTTAAGCGTGTGATATAAACGAATAACTGGCCGCCCCCCAGGAGCTGTAGGATATGCTATGCCTTCCCAGCATGGCTGGGGATACTGGGGATACTCCAGCACAGGACAGAGGAGCAGGATCAGGCTTCAGCCTGCCTCTCCTGGTGGTTCCTGCCTGGGCGGCTCTGTGGTAACCTAGGCCCCATCTCCGGAGACTGGGCCATTCCACCTAGATCCCTTTTCACGACCATTAGCTCCAGTGCTGCGAGAGTTTCTGCTGTCCCGTGTTTTGGCTCAAGGAAGAAGGTCCTCTATTAAGGAACGTTCCACCTGTGTACGCTTTTGTAAACCATCCTGCATTTATACTTTATTTATACACCGTTTCCTGTCCTATATAAGGTCAGAAGTTAGATGTACTCCGAACACAGACCTTCGTCAGTTTGTGGAGACCCTAGTTATGTTGAGGCTCAAATTCCTCAGTGTGGATGAAAATGATCCCCTTGTAGACGTTGTAGCAGTTTCCCATCCTGAACCAAAGTTTAACAGCTTGTGATTTCTGATGTTTCCCAACAGCACTGCTGTTCTCTTCCAGGCTGAATGAAATCTCACCTCCCACTTCTGGTTACTAATGACCATCTGATGCTTCTCAGTGATACTTCATCACTAAAACATGGCTGTTCTGATTCTTCTCCCTTCTGACGTCAGCAGGACGTTCGGCACTCTCGTTGCGGTGTCGTCCAGCATATTTATTGGTACTGAGTTCTGTGTGTGTCCCTGTTGCTGGGTAGCAGTTGACGTAGCTCCGAATGTTATTTCTGATTCGAACCCTCCGCTTTTAGTCACATCTTTAATGCAGTCGATGCTGGGTAGAGAGGAACCTCTTTTTATGTAGGAAAGACTGAGGTAAAACTGTTTGGTTTGAGTCACAGGTCCATCCCAGTGCCTGTACAGTGGAGGCGGTCTGGGCCGCCCTAGTGGAAAGTTGACCAGTCTGCCACTTCTCCACAGCGGCAAAAAGCTACCCTATGAATTAGCTCCTAGTCAGGGCTTGGGGGTAGTTTTTAGTGACTGAGCCATGACAATTCCACCGAAAGGGGGGGCATTGGCAACTGCCCTCAGGAAAGTCTTAAAAATAAATAAATACATCCTAAAGTCCCCTTTCTTCCCCCCCTCCAAGGTTTCCCCTCACTGCAGTGTTTGGTCATAAAGTCTGGAGGAAAAAAAAACAGTTTGTCAGTTTCTCCAAAGGGCGGGGCTCGGGGGGGGGGGCGGGGTTACAAAATGGAAGGAGTGGAGCACAAGTAGCGGCTGTGTCGCTGTGACTGCAAGCTGCTTTCGCGTCCTGCTTGTTTATTTATTTATCTAGTTAGTTATTTAGGGATGCCGCCATTTTCTTAACCCCCGGGTAAGCACAGTACATTGCTATTCTCCTGCCAGCGCACGAGAACAATGCGGTTTGGTCTCCAACAGCAACAGGCTAGAGGAGAGGGGCTCCCTCACGCCGTGGGTGCGAGTCCTGGCTAAGAAGGCAAACCGCTTTCCAATTTGACCCCAAGGGATAAAGTGACAGAGTCCTACACAACTTCCAGGAGTCTGTAAAACACATTTGTTTCCCCCTCAAAAGAAATGTAAATAAATGTTTTTTTTTCTAAATAAAATCGAGTTTAACAGTCATCTGTCGGCTGTGAAACGGCAGGTTGGAAAATTCCATGGATACTCTGAAACTTTCCCAAATTTTGCACAGTTGGGCGAATTTTCCTTCATAATGTAATGTCTTCATGTGGTCTCTCTAGTGGGCCCTATCACTGTAATAAAGCAGCACAGCTTTAAATTCAGAGACATGAAGTCTCAACCAAAACCATACTTGATGGTACAGAGATGCCGAAGTGGGCTACCATAGAATTAATGTCGGTGACTTCTGACCTGGTTGGTCACATGACTCTGAAATGCCAGTTTCACGTGTCTCCACAATATTAATGTCGTGGCCAGTAATAGCAATTTTTATAGTAACCATAACAGAAATGGAAGAAATGGCAGCTTACAGAACATATGACACACATCCATTAATAATTTTGCTTTTAATTTTTATCTCCAAACAGAGGCTGGACGGCTTGGCTAATCTCTACTCTGTGGAGCCACTCGAGGGCCATCACTGGGACAGCAGCCCAGAAACGCTGACCTACGTGTACATGCCGGACAACCAGGCCATCGCGGTGCCTATAAAACGGGATCATACGGTGAAGGACGTGCTGGCCCTGGCCTGCAAGGTGTGCGGGAACAACGTAGCTTTTTATAGAAAAACAATTCCGTAAACACTTTTTATAGGAAAGGTTGTGTCCTCTGTTACTGGAAAATAAAGGGGTTGTGTCCTTCATTTATTTGCCAGTATATGAATATCACATACAGTCACCCATCAGCCACTCGTCTAGGGTGACCACCTAATCCGCGGCAGGGGGGCACTATAAACTACTGTTTCAATTAAAAAGATCTGGGTTATACTTCAGCACTGAGTTCTTACTGTGTGCTGATTGGTCAGTCTCCTATAATCATGCATGTGTCAGTAATGTTAATGTGAAACGGCTGGATGAGTCTTTCAATCAAGGAAACAAAGCAGTCAAAGCACAAGAAGAATTTAACTAATTAGCCAACCACAGGAGCCTTTCAGTTCTAAAGTAGTTCATAAAACCTAAAAGTAGCTTGTAGTGTCCCCCCGCCCCCCCCATCATGGATTAGGTGGTCACCCTACACTCATGGGGTCACACCAAAAGGCTTTCAGCCAGGGGTTAATCTGGGATTTGGCCCATAGGGGGCGCTTAGCTCACTAGGATTGTCACTTTCTGAAGAGATACGGGATGACCTCCCCATACACAAACACAATTTCGCAAAATGTGCATGAACATATGGGAGAAATCGCTAAATGGATTTAGAAAAACATTTTTTCAGGGGGACTGAGACAAAACTTAGTCACTGAAGTTCCCCCTACAATAACTCGTGCTTCCAGCCAACATTTTTAATGAATCTGCACCCATTGATTCCCTGCAATAAAAAGGGGATACAAAACTGTTTTCCCTCCAGTCTTTTTAAACATTTTATGAGCTTGAAATTATTAATACTGGTGTAGAGTTCTGTATTTCAGATAATGTTTGAGTCGTAGCCAAGGACTGCTGCAGCTTTATGGGGAAATGACCTGTGAGGCTCCCATCCCTCCCCCCCCCCAGAGAGTGTATTTTTTTTCACCCCCCTTTTTTGGGGGGGGGGGGGGGGCTGTGCGGGGGGTGATATTCGTTAATATCACATGCTTAAGCGTAAGGCTCACCCATGTGTCTTGCAGAGCTGTGCGTTTGGATGCATGCTTAAGCCATTCAGAGCTGATTTGTGTTTCTCTGCTGATCTCCTGTCGCCAGGACAATCTTTTACTGGAGTCTGGTTCCACAGTTACTGTGGCGGTGTGTATAAAAGATGAGAAGGATGGGGCCTGATCCGGGAAGTGAAAGTCTTGCGTTGCTCCCTAAAGGTGCAGCAGCTGGAGGCGAGTCTCCACGGGCTGCGTGTGCGGGGGGGCGCGGCCCAGGAGGCGGAGTTTGCTGTGCCAGGGAGCAGCGAGCTGCTTGCGGACCTGGTAAGGCTGGCATCAGGCGCCTTTGGGCTGGCATCAGGCGCCTTTGGGTGCCACTTCCGTTCTCGGTTGGTGCTATAATCCCACGTGGTGCAACTTGGAATCTTCCTGAGCGCCGACTCTCTCAACAGGTATATGACGCCCTGGAAATCTTCCCACTGAGTGTGTTCACCGTACGTCTGTCTCGGCCCTCCAGTACTGTGGACTTCGGTGAGTGTGCAGCGGGTCTCCAGTCTGATCCACATGCCACCCCCTCAGTGGTTTGCTCAGGATGCCATGATGGTAACTGTGTTACTGTGAGGTCATGCTCCGGGCCTTTGACCTCACGCGTGACCCCTGGCTGTGCTGCAGGTTTCGCCGTTACGGGACACGTGGACGGCTATGGGAGCAGCCGCATCTTTGTGAGCGAAGTGCTGCCGGACGGAATGGCTGTTAACGAAGGTTGTTAACTTTTAAGACGTAACTTTTTCTTACATTTTGGAATGGATGGTGCTCTTATAGTATGCAGCTTTTAAATACTAATAATACTCATGATTAGTATTAGTTTCAGTACCTCAGAGTATTGATCCTGAAGTAGTATTCGCAGTGTAAGAACCTGCACCAGGAGTCTAATGTGTAGCAGGCTGCGGCGGCGCTTTCTGACTGTCTGCACACACGTTGTCCTGCAGGTCTGCGGCAGGGAGATGAGATCCTGGTGCTGAACGGCAAGAGTATCGCCGCCCTGGACTTGGGCCTGATGCAGGAGTTTTTCTGCGAGCAGAGCCTCAGCCTCTCCATCCGCCGGGACGCCGCCCCTGAAGAGGCGGGCTCTGCCTGGGCGGACCTGGAGTCCAGAGAGCCTTGCCCCCCTGTCCCAATCCCGAACCAGATGCAGCTGCTGGAGCAATTCCTGGACCGGCACCGCAGCACCCAGACGTCCTCCGGTAAGTCAGCGGACCGTGCTCTGAAAGCAGGCAGCTGGACTGCACTGCATGTCGCGCAGACCCTGCCGCCCCCCCTCCAGAAAGCACAGGAATGCACGTACCATGACAGTGACGTGCCCCCCCATTGGTACACAGCACAAGGCAAGTTAATTTATATAGCGCCTTTCGCACACTGTGCTCATTCACATAAGAAAAATGCAGATTTAAATTCAACTGAAAATGGTACGAGAATAGAAATGAAGAACATGACTATGATTAAGGCAATAGATATAAGACAAAAATTAGATGTGAAGATAAAGCAAATTACAGGTGAATTGGGACAATAAGGTTCCATTGCAGGCCAGAAATGCAGTAAAGCTAACAGAGTATTAAGCTGAACTAGATCACGACAGCACATTTAACATGAGTTAACCCTGTGTAACAGCAGAGGTTCTCAAATGGTTTCACTTCAGGAAACCTTACTCCGCAGTCACCAGTTGAGAGACACTGTTTCAAGCTGAAGAATACAATGTTACTATTTTTAGTGAATTTAAAACTTGCTGATCCAGATCAGTGATTATTTTGACACACTGCTTTTGTTACATAGGTTTATATTGTCAGTATAAATGCCAGTTAATTCATACTTCATAAAATTGTCAATATTAATTCATGCTACATTATATTGTTTACCAGTAAGTAGGCTTACTTTGGCAGTGTTTTTTTGTTAATTCTTTCTGTAAATAAACTTAAATATGTTTCACATTCAAGCCGCACTTGCCGGCTCCACCTTCTTCCTCCCAGACCCATGTGAGCGTGGGTGAATTTGTGTACCCTCTCCGTATGACTGACACGCACACACACCCACCGCATGACTGGTTGTACGGTCCAGCTTTGGTCCGTCATTTGCCTGCCGCCTTCGGCTCGGAGGTTCGCTGAGCTGTGAATTGTCTGAGGTTTGTGAGTCCACTTCTCAGAGTGGGACGTCCTGCGTCGTAGATCGAACTTGATGTCCTGCTTGAATTTGTAAGCGTGACAGGAACTGTTTTTAACCACAATGCAGAGCAAGCACTGTCCTAGCGGGCGTATGAAGATGCTCTGCTCTGCGAATGCAGCCTCTTTCCCACACGGTATCTGAAACGGGGGCACTTTGCTGACGAAAGCGTTCACACTTTTATTTTCCACTTATGCTAACTGTTGTTATAGTTCTCGCTTGATGCTCTTTTATTCACATGTAAGTCATTTCCATGACATGTTTGCCTTATGATCCGCCTGTGAGAAGCTGGTTTTTTAAACATTTTAATCAGAGCTCCTTTTTTTTGGATGATGTATCTATTCAGTTTTGCAATGCGGACCAGTTTCTCAGTTTCTTTGAGTTCCTATCAGTGGTACACGAGGAAACTGCAGTTGCGATGTGGCTGGTGTGAAATTTGCGTCGTGCGACGTTACCCACAGCGTACAGGGTGACATTAGTTCTGAAGCAAAAACATGGTTGTTCCTTACAGATGAGCAAAAGGCGGGACTAATGGCTTTCCCTCTTTGTCCCGTGTGCAGATGTGTCCGTTGTGCCAGATGTCCCAGGCAGCTCAGTAGGGCCTGATATGGAGATCAGACCAGGCCGACGCAGCCCGTGGATGGAGCAGCACGACGCGGTAGGTCCTCCACCATTCACGTTTCCAATGCTCCCGATCTGGACTGAGCGTGCGGATGTTTGCCATTGTGTCTCACATCTTGTTGCACAAGGTGTGAGACAAGCTTCTGAGGGCAGGAAATGAGAACCGCTAAAAATGTGCCTTTTTGCAAATTCATCTGTAAAAATCAACATGTTTTGACTTGAAGGGCAAGGGTTTGGACTAAAGCACCTGCAGAGTTGTGTGTGTCTTGCTCTGAATGCATCTTTGCCATCTATCTGCTCAAAGGCACGTGTGCCGGTGCGTGTGAAAACCACCAATGTCTGCCCCCCCCTCCTGGCCTCACTGTGCTTCCGACCATCCCACGAAAGACGGGTCACCGTTCTTCTCCTCACTCTTCGAAACACTTTGACACCATTGCCTCTCATTCTTTCACTTCCCTTTTCCTGTCGGCTGTGGCTTCTGAAGTGACCGTACTATACTGGGTGAACTCTAGTGCTTCAGTGACATGTTGGTTCAAAGCCCGACTCGGGCAGCTGCTTCGTTTAAGCGCCACCTACTGCTGCCATCACGTCGGACTTTTGGCATGCAGAAGAGGCAGAATTTAATTAGAGAGTGGGAGTCTGCCATCAGTGAAATTGCAGGCAAATGGGTCTTTCGCATTCAGAGACCAAACCTTGTGAGTCGTAGCTGAAGCTGGACTGTCTGGTGCCCGACTGAAGCAGGTAGCCTCTATTGCAGTTTACCTTATTTGTGTGGATTTTCATTATAACACATGTAAGTAGTACTTACTATACTTCTTTTTTGTTTGTTGTGTGGTAACAAGGCATATTTTTGATCTTACTATAAATTACGTTTGTGACAACATATGTTGAATACCACAAGGGATGTGGCAAATCGTGCCAGACATTTTGAAAAAGTTATTAATATTGATCTAATTGCACATTGAAAATTACAATATAGGCTATGCATACTTAATTTTTGTGAAGCTTCTATTGTTACCATGCTCACTCGTTATGGTGAAGAATAGAATTAGATGAATATAAACTGATTGTGGCAAAGTAAATGACCGTCATACATCCGGGATAAGGTTGAATGTGCTGAATTATTTTGAGGGATTTTGCATTTAAGGGAAGCCAAATGTTTGTGCTGTTGCTGATCTGTGTGGAAGTTGATCTGCTGTGTGTTTGCATTTTTCCTGACAAAAGCAGAATCTGTTTCCTTTTGCTCCAGGGTTAGTATAGTGTAGTACAGTTGCTGGGCCTTGCTCTCCGTTTTTTAATGGTACAGTTTTCTGCTGTTGAATCTGATGGGATGGTTCTTGCGCAGTCCGGTTCCCAGCCAGCAAGGAAGGCCCTCTGCCCATTAGGCTGGGCTTGTCTGCAAGGCTGGCATGGCAGTCTGAGTTGGCATCCGATCGGCCACACTCAGCCGTCCTGTTTCACACCGTGAATAAATCCAGCGGCATCTGGAGGAAGCTAATTTATTCGAAAGAGAAGTGAGGCATGACAGGGGGAAGAAAGGCTCCCCCTGCCACAGACGAATTAATGTTTATTTCAAAAGATTGAACTGTTGAGGTTTTGGCTGGATCCACTTTTTTTCAGTGCCCTCTAAATTGAACAAATGGGGAAGTTTGATCTAAGATGCATCTCACTTCCTGTGAAAGCCTCAAGGTTCTTCAGCTTCTCACATCATTCATCTCTTACCTTGTGTTGGTCGATGGCTGGGGGGTACCTTCTAGGGGACAGCTCTGCACCGGGGCCGCCCATTTTCCTTTACCTCTGGTCTTCCTGGCCCATGTCCCAGGGAGTTTGGCTGACAGATGGAAGTGACACCAGCATTCTGGGTAAGCGACTTTGGGTGCCAATCTGCCGCAGGTCCGTCTGTGGAGCACTGCCCTGTAACAGCGGCCTCTGTAGCTGTGGCACCTCTTTCCCATAACTCTGCGACTGGCTTTCACCTCCGAAGTGTCAAACTTCAGTCTGTGTTTGACGTCAGACGCTTTGGAACCAGGCGGTCCTAAAAACCAAGCCTCAATGAGAAACATCCAAGTGGACTTTAACAGGAGCAACACTCGCACCTTGAGCACAGGGCTTGGATTGTTTGAATCCTGTCCCCAGTGATGGAATTGATCCAACAGAATAGGTGTGACTCCTCCTCCTGCTGTAGGTTGGCGCTGTGTAACCCTGGCTGCAGACAGTTAGGGTGACAGATCCCTTGGCAGGTTGTGTGTGAAGGAGAGAGGCAGAGCGTATCGAGGGATACTCATACTCTGCCGTTTGCAGCTGTTGCACCTCGTGACATTTAGATATTGCTCCCAGGGGGGTCAGCGCCTCGATTCCAGCCAGAGCCCCATCACTGCCCGTAATGCCCACTTGTTGGCAGGACATGCGCGGAGTTGAGATAGATTAAGTCCTTCTAGCTGCATATGGCTGGGAGCTGGCCGGTAATCCAGGCTTACCCCTGCGGTGCCTGCGCCCTGCTCCAGAGTACAGAGCACGGTGGCCCGGTCTTCTCTGGATACCAATGGCGTTGGGGGTGGAGCGCGGAGCCGGACCCTGTATAGCCCTCTCCGCCCTGGTTGAGCTCCTCTTCCGCAAGCTCTCTCCGGCTGAGGCAGTGTGGTCCGTGCTCTCCATGTGCTGGTTCTGGCCACACAAGGATGCCAGGGAGTGGGACCTCTTCCTGGGCTCGAATGTGCTGTCCTTCCGACGCCTGGTCCAGGACCGGCTGCTGATCGCGTCCGTCGGGGGATGCCCGGTCCTGCTAACTGGCTGCTTTCCGGCCTGTCTGGTGAGGCCTTGCTGTGCCTTCCGGGTGTCACTGTGTTAGTGTGCTGAGCTACGATTCAATAATCGTATTTGCCAAAATTATGTTTTTATCATTCCATACAATAGCACAATTTCCCCACACGCTTGATATATTATTGGTGTCATTTTACATCGGCCATGCTGTCTGTAATGGTATTGCCTGGCTGTTTTTTCTTCATGTAAGATGGACCTCTCGCATTATGAAACTGTGTTCCTGGAAACTCTTAATGACTGCTGGAAATAGTGAATCCTCAATGGAGAATGATTAAGAAATGGACAAGCTAAGTGACAGTGACCATTTCTGGGGTTATTACTGTGTTGATAGATGCCTTTTTCAGCCGAGACTGATTTATTTTGCATCCTGACTAAGAAAGAGACCAAATTGGTCTTTAGTTTGATTGAGATGTGATTCAGTGTTGGGTTTCTGCTGGCTTGTGTTATAAACCTGCCGGGCATAATTGCCCCATTCGGTGATGTGCAGGAGCAGCTATTTACGGATTACAGACAGCTTTCACCCACTTCGGCTTCTGAACAGTCCCTGTTTTACCATGTCTGTGGGATGATTCTCTGAAGAAGAAATGGGTCTGTGTACCTGAAGTCCAAGTAAAACAATGATATTCCATTTGGAGGTGCACCATTGGCCCGGTTGCAGTGCTATTCCCCAGCGTGCTCCAATTGCATTGTGACATCTCAAATCATCCTCTCGGAACAACCAGTCATTGAGGAAGTATGCAGATCAGTGTCAGGAAACACGTCTGCTGCTGGTAGCCACATCTAAATTTAGTGTGGGAAAAATTTATGTTAAGCGTCTGGCTGTGCTATTTGCAATACAAACCTACACAAGGTACTTTTTTGTGTGTGTTGTAGGAAATGTACTATAGCATGTTAATATGTTTTTTGCTGAACTGTATGGGTTTTTTTGTCCTCTTAGTAAGCACTTTAATCAAAATGCAGTTGTCATGGCACCACCCTGAGTGATTATACTAAGTCTGTCTCCTGAAGTCCCCTTTATTCACTGTCCTCTCATACCATAGCGTGATTCTGTGTTCCTGTCTGTTAGTATTCACCCCATCTGAGCTTCCCCGTCACACCGAGGCAGACAAGTGGCCTTTGCTGGCCCTGTGCTTCGTTTGGGACTTTCTGCGAGACCCACCTGACTCCTAAGTGATTGACATGGTGATTCCAGGACGGTGGGTTGTGCTTTTTTTAGAGTGCCTACGCCGGCAGAAAGGCGTCAATGCAGCGTGTCCAACAGCCTAGACCTTCCCATTGGCTCTTCTGGAGTAGTCTTGCTTTGGCAGGGGGGCTTAGCTGAACCTGTGGGGGGGCTGGGCCCTTGACCTCTTCAAGTGAGTTTGCTGACATGGTGATGTGGCAAGGGGGGAAGCTGTAGGAAGGTGAAGATGTTTCTAGTGTCTTGAGAGAGGGATAAGAGAGCAGGAGGTCTCCTGTCGGCCACTATGCTGGACTCCGGGTCTGGGCAGCTGCAGAGGAAGGGCTGCTGTTTGGCCTGGTGGCCGAGACACCAAGTCACCGCAGCCTACAGGCACCTTTGCAGGCCGCTTCGCATGGTGAGTGTGGAGAGAACCAGCACAGGTAGGGTTCCGGTGTGGGACAGTGGTTACTGTTTGGGAGGAACCTGTCCTCTATAGTTGCCAGCATTAAGCACTCTGCAGTGTGGCTGTGCTTCATGTGTAGCTGTTTCTCGGGGGGGCGGCTCCCTGTCACGCGCAGGCGGGCTGGTGGCGACCTGTGATGTGTTCTGCTTTGCTGACGCATGACATTTAATCGGCGCTTTAGGTCAAAGAGCCATGCAGGAAATGCACAGAGACAGGGATGGTCTCGCTGCTAAACCGCCGCTTCCCCAGGTGCTTTTCATAGTTCTGAACGGCCATGTCGCTGCTGGATCTGCTGGTTTAAGATCCATATCAAGCTCAGCAGAGAAAATGGGGAGATGTGCTGTGCAGGCCTGGCTGAGTGGGATGCTGAATTCTCTTGGGTGAAAAAGAACCCACACGCTTGCATCTCATATATTGACTATGTGCCCAAATGAAGGGTCCCTGTGGTAAAGGGCTGTAGACTGTGTGTGTGGGGAGCGGGGCGTGCTCCATCCTGACAGTGTTAAGTGTGTATGTGTCAGGCTCAGTGTCACAGCCTGAGCAGCCTTTAATTAATGGCCGTCCGGCACCACAACCACCCGCAGGGTCAGTAGGTGGTCCCATCTGTGCCAGAGCAGGGACGCGGGAAGCCGTTCCTGCAGACGGCAGCCATCCCCCTCACCAGCACCACGTGCCGGCGCTGCTCCAGAGCCGGGTCAGCTGTCACAGCAACACAGCTCTCCATCCGGTAATGAAGCAGATCCACTTCACGGCGTGCCAAGGGCTCCTGTGAATCTGGCAGAGGCGCGTGACTCATGCCAGCTTCCCCCACAAAGTCACTATGTGGCGATAAGCAGAGAGGCGGCCGCCGCCTCTGGATCAGAAGGTGTCACTGGATCCGTCTTCGAGATGCGACCGCCAGCACTATGGAGCTGTTATTCCTAGTCTGCTGGCAAGTGTTTGAGGAGGTTGTGTGGTCATGGTCATAATTCACCAGCTATTTTACTAGGACCCCCCCCTTGTCCCTTGTGCTCCCCCTGCAAAATCCTGTAGCGAAGGAGAAAAACCCGGTCATTACCAGCAGCTTGTGAAATACATTGTAAGCTCCATGTCTTAAGTGAAGCTACGAGACGTCCCATGGTGTTTGGCTGAGGGCGGCAGCACAGGTGGCTGCCTGCCGTGTGCTGGAAGGATGGGAATGGAACGCATGTCGTGAAGGGTAGCTGCCCCAGCACCGGTGTGGGACTGTGCAGAGCTTCTCTGATGCTCACGCGTCCATAAGCAGCTGTAACCCTTCAGCCACTTTACAGTACACACATTCATCAAAGATGCAGGCGTTAAAATTCACTATGTAAGGTTTTTAAGATCTGTTATGTCTGTAGAATTTATGAATACTCATATCAACTCTAACGTTAGATTAGATGTTGTAAGTTTTAAAATTATTTAGATTTATTTGATTCAGAAACATTTAGTCAGTGATCCTGAAATCAGTTTGGCAATTATCTTGTTGTTTTGTGATAGAGCTGTGCTAATTATTGCTGTAATTAGCAGGCTATTGAGACTATAATCCTACACATTTCTTTTATCCTATTGTATTTGGTTGAGCCAGCTTAGGCCATGACAGCCGGGGTGGTTGACTCATTGTTCAAACACAGCTGTTCTGAATAGCTTCATATCATTGGCTTATCCCATGTTTCTCTCAAACCCATAATAGCTAGTCGAAAGCCTTAACCAACAGGCCTACTGAAAGTAGGTCATCCATCCTTGCCGCATACGCACTAGTCTATTCGTGATTGAAGGGTTCCACCATGTGCAGAACACACTCTTAAAGGTTTCTTGTTTTGTGGGTCTCCTCCAGGGTGTGGAAGCAGTGTGCACTTTGTACCAGACCTTCCAAGAAGGCTCAGAGGGGCTGATGGATACTCATAAAGATCCCACCGGGGACGATCCTGGCCCCATGCGGCCATACCCTCGCCACATGCCTGCCACGGAGCGCCTGCGCAAGGTCATTCAAGAGCTGGTGGACACTGAGAAGTCTTATGTCAAGGTACTCACTCACCGGGCTAGGCTGGGGTGACCACAATGCTCTGCAGATATACAGTAATTAGTGACTTCCGCTGCTTGTAATTTTACTCTTCAGTCCTTGGTTCACATTAAAAGAAATGCCGGCCCTTGCAGAAAAGTCCACTTTAACTTGTAGACCAGTGGTGGGCAATCTTATCCGCAGTGGACCGGTGTGTATGCGGGTTTTCCCTGCAACTCCCTAATTAGATTACTAATTAGAGGACTGATTGGCTGAAGAGTCCTCACACTTGGGTTTGAACAGCTGACCTACAGGTTATCCCAAAAACCTGCATACATATCGGCCCTTTGAGGATAAGATTGGCTACCCCTGTTGTAGACCATCCACTGTCCCCTAAAGTTTCTAATTTTCAGTTCATTACATTGCTGCACCAACCTTGTCTTGGCATCTTAAACTGTGCTTGATCAAAAACAGCCAAGCTATGTGAATGAAACCTGCCAGATCTCAAAGGGAAGTAGCAGCGTGCCCAGTGTCTCATATCTACCTCAGATGCTCTATTTCCTGCTATCTTATCTGTTGAGTGAGATCTCCAATAAAGAACGAAAGCTGCCAGCACTCCTGCGGCCATCAGTAGTTATAACGGGAAGTGATGGTCACATGGTGGAGCTGTTTCAGTAGCTGTTCTCTTCCTCCCCCCATCTCTCTGCCACAGGACCTGAGCTGCTTGTTTGAGATCTACCTGAAGCCACTGCAGAATGAGACCTTCCTCACTCAGGATGAGGTATAGTAGAAAAATGAGCAGCTGAAGCAGCCAGCATGCTAGTCAAAACAGCACTGCTTCCTCAAACAGCACTTACCTGTTGAAAAAATATTGACCTTGTGTGCCATGATACTGCCATGGTGGACCATCCTGTGGAACTGTATTCACCATCCACCCAACTCTCCAAATCCAGATGGAAAGCCTGTTTGGCAGCTTGCCAGAGATGCTGGACTTCCAGAAGGTCTTTCTTCAGACCTTAGAGGAGAGAATCGCCTCATCGCCTGACTTCAACACGCTTGAGACACCAGTGGAGTTCAAGGTACCTGGCTTTCTGGTTAAGGAATGACCACCGTGTGCATTATAGAATTATGCTGTCAGCTCAAACTGTAGTGGTTTCTATCCAAACCCCTGCAGGCCACAATAATGCGAGAACCTGGGCTAAACTGCCTACCTCGGGTCCAGCAGGAGCAACATGACACAAATGTGACTCTCCTCCCTGCTTTTAGAAACTTCTCTTCTCCCTGGGTGCACCCTTCCTGTACTACGCAGATCACTTCAAGCTCTACAGTGGTTTCTGTGCAAATCACATCAAGGTCCAGAAAGTCTTGGAGCGAGGTATGCCGTAACATGGGCTGCTTTTCAGATCGAGGAGGAAAAACTCCTAACTCTTGGTGCCAACTAGCAGCAGATGTATGCTGATTGCATTAGGAGAAGATTTTTGCCACTTAGTTTAATGGTCAAAATATCCAATTCTGCTTGATGAAAACAGTGAGGCAGCTGTACTGTTTCCATGAATAACAGGTTGGGTCTCCTGCCTTCTCTCACCTCAAAACCCTCCCCCTTTTGTTTGGCTAAGGCTTAAAATTTCATACTGTGATATTATGCTAGCTGGATTATCCAAATTACTTCCATGTGTTTCCAGATTTTCTGGAAGCCCGCCCATTTCCTTCTGAGATGTGTGCATGCTCTACAATGAGTCCGAGGCCATTAAGGCCTTACGGGCGACTCAAATTATAAAATGTGTCAGTAATATGACTCAACGTTAATATTAAACCTAAATTATGCCCCCCCTGTGGCTGACCTGGTTTTTCACTGCAGGCATTTTGCCCAGTGGAGAGTAACAGCAATACTTAGGAGTTTGATCCATGCTTGGGGGGGGAGGGGTCATACCTCTACGTCTCTTAAATTCTGTGCTGCAAGCCCTTGTGGTTGTTTTCATGGAAGTGGATACTGGAATTAGACATAAAAGATGATTAGAAAATTCAGTGGAAGTGCCTTCATTCCATCTGGGAGATGTATCAAAGTGATGAGGGGATATGCAGTGCTGAGAACCAAGTGTCTGCTGTCGGGTGCCCGCTGGCAGCCGGCATGATTACACAGGCATTTGTCACTCGTTCTTGGCTCTTCATATCTCACTGTGCTGAGAGTTTTGAATTTATTTGTTAATCGCCTGCCAATTACCAGTTGGAGTGTCACAGAAACTCCCTGTCTGTTAGACCTCAAGTGGCCTCTAAAGCAGCGTTTCTCAAACCAATCCTTGGGGACCCCCAGAAAGTCCACCTTTTGGCTCCCTCCCAGCTCCTAATTTTCATGCTTTGCCTATGACATTAAATTTTTTGGCACTTTTTTTGTAATAAATTCTTACCCTTTTACATCCTGCTCGCGTTTGTTGCAGATGTAATTTTTATTGAAGCATACACTGACCCCTTGTGGACAAATGAGTTTACACACATCCGCAGTATCTATGTACTAGAGCCATTGAGACCCTCAGCTTGAAGGCTAGTAGGTTGTATAATTCATGAAACGGTATCAAGCAGGATCATAAACGAGTAATCAATTATTTGCTGCTAATTGAGGAGCGTGGGATGCTTGATTTCTCCAGTATGATCCTTCTCTTTCTTCTTAAAGCAAAGACAGACCGGGCCTTTAAGGAGTTCCTCGATGCAAGGAACCCAACGAAGCAGCACTCGTCAACTCTGGAGTCCTACCTGATCAAACCTGTGCAAAGAGTGCTGAAGTACCCACTGCTACTCCGGGAGCTGGTGTCCCTGACAGACACCGACAGTGAGGAACACCATCACTTGACAGGTGCCTTGTGCAAGACACACGCACACACACATTGGTGTGCCTATCTAAATGGGGACCTTCCATTTATTTCTATGAGAAAAACACTAATCCCTAAAAACACAAACACCCCTACACCTTGCCCCATTCCAGGGAGCCAATAAGGCGATAATGCTGAATAATATCTCATTTCCTGACCCCAGAGGCCTTGAAGGCCATGGAGAAGGTAGCCAGTCACATCAATGAAATGCAGAAGATCTATGAGGATTATGGCACGGTGTTCGACCAACTGGTAGCAGAGCAGAGTGGCACTGAGAAAGAGGTAAGATGCTCATTCTTCATTCCTCTTGTTTGGTCTAATTTCCACATGGAGAATGGTTAAGGGGCTTAGACAAAGAAATTACTACTTCAAAACACAGGAATGTGCTCTTGTACTATGGGGAGTGATTCTCAGCCTGAATCAGTACAAATATTATGAAAACAATTACAAAGCAACAAATGGAGAAAATGAATGCGTGTAGCATGCTCCCATCTTACAATTATAGCTAGTTTTGACGTGCTGCACCCAAAGCTTCAAACAGAAGCAGACATTGTACTCACTGCTCATTTCAAACCCTCCATAAGGTCACAGAGATTTCCATGGGAGAATTCCTTATGCATTCCACGGTCATGTGGCTGAACCCATTCCCATCGCTAGGCCGCATGAGAAAGGAGCCTGAGCTGACTGTATTTGGTGGGTATGCCCCTGGGCAGTCGTGCTGTTAAGCGCTATGGGTGGCTGGGCCAGTGTCATGGTCATTAGTGGGCAAGTTGAGCTCTGAAGACACCATGTTTACTCATACATATATATTAACATGCACTTGTAGGCATTTTCTTACAATAGTAATAGCATGTAAAAGAACAAGCAGTTTTCAAAAGTGATGCTTTGAAATTTTTAATTGGCTTGTTGGGTACCTTAAAATTTGGGATGGTTATAAGTGGTGAGTTTATGGCTTCAAAACTTATATAAATCTCCAGCGGTTTTTTCCTTGACCTCTACAAATGTCATGGAAGACCTCGGTGATGTGTAGTCTGCAGAAACCATGCTGACTTTTCTCTTCTCTCGTCAGTGTTCAAGAAAGCTGTGATACTCGTGTACAGGGAGAACAACAAGCTGAAGAAGAAGATGGTGAGTTATGGTGCTGCTGGTGTTCTGCACTGACGTTTTGCACAGGACCACAGTGTTATATTTTAGCTGTATGTGGCTTCATCTTGATTTCCTCACGGGCGCTTCATCTGTGGGACAGACTGCAGGGCGTTCCTCGTACTCTCATGGGGATCTGGACCCTTTCAAGTTCCGCTGGCTCATCCCACTGTCAGCACTGCAGGTCCGACTGGGAAACACAGCAGGTTAGCGTCCGGCCACTTGGTTCAAACTGAGGTACAAGGGCATCTCCTGAATAATTACCCTTCTCATTCCCCTGCCTACAGGAACAGAAAAAAACTGTATCTGGGAGCTGATTCACACGAAGTCAGAGCTTGAAGGACGTCCAGAGACTGTGTTCCAGCTCTGTAGCAGGTAAGGGGCAAGGGGAGCGCATGTCCTGACCCGTAGATCCTCGCTGTAATCCAGATTGGAGCACGCTTCAGACTGAAAGGGTTGAGAATTTCTCTCATTCTGCGCACAGCGTGCCTGAGTGCATGGCCAGCATCGTCAAGGTGATCCGCTCTGTTCTGAGGGAGAATGTGCGTAGGAACAGGGAGGGGCTCATCCCACTCAGGAAAACCGTGCCAGCGTCTGCGCGCATAGGTAACTATCCCACTGTGATTCCCCGCAACCTTTGCTGGTTCTCTGTTCCGGCCATGAAGCTAATAGGGTGGAATGTTATGGAAGTACAAGTGGAGAGTAGTTTTTAATGACTTCCAATGCAGTGTCCATGACTGCTCCCTCGAATTTATTGCACAAGCTGTAATTACATAAGTAGGGAAACTGGGCCAGAAATGTGTGTGCCAAGATAAAACTGTCGTTAGCTTCGGTGGAAGGTCTAGGCGAGGGTATGTAGCTCCGATACTGACTTCTCTGATTTCAGATAATGGTACCTGAAGCATGTAAAACTACAATCTTTCTTGTTTTAAAGTCATCTTCTATGAAAACCATTTAACCGGAGGTGTGTAGTGAGTCACTGACTGACAGCTGCGTGAGTCACACGGTGTCTTGCTGCAGGTTCATCCAGAGCCTCCTGGCTGTGTAAGCAGCCGAGCCTGGAGGTCCCTGCTCATCTCAGCACGTCAAAAGCAGGGCATCCAGATTCCGACGAGGGCAGCCTGAGCAGCCGGACCCACCTGATTGAAGGCCAGGCGGAGCGCAAAGGTCAGGCCCCTCGGAACCAACGCCGGGGTCCCCAGCAAAGGCCCAGCCCAGATGGCAGCGTCAAAGAATCAGACATCCTGAGCGATGACGAGGACCTTGGAGAGACCACCCGGTCAGTGTCACCCGCAAGTGCCATCGAGGCTCAGTTCCGGCGTCTGAAGATGGTTGAGCAGACAGCATGCGGGGAGCTGGCACCTTATGTACAGCCTGAGGGGGGCGATGTGGACACACCTGAGAAGCAGTCGAGGTTACTGCGTTCCCACCCCTGCATCAAACGGAAAAATAATAGCCTGCGGCGAAACAAGGGGGCGCTGCTGAGCATGAAGCAGCAGAGCCGGTCTCTGGACAGCCAGGAAGAGCCCCCCAGCATGGACCTCAACACCCTACTGGAGCGGGAGTTCAGCGTGCAGAGCCTGACTTCTGTTGTTAACGAGGACTGCTTCTACAACATGGAGAGTACTGACAGTGGGCCTGTACCCACCCTATAGGATAGGGAAGCTCCCCTACAAATCCAACCAGTCCCAGGTCCTCATTCCTCAGAGGGAGTGGCTTGGCTCCCTGGGCTGCTCTGCAACTGGACAGGAAGTTATACAAACCAAAATGGAAGCACACTGTACCAACCAGGACTCTGTACCTACTTTGTTCTGTATTTGTGCACTAAGTACACAATTCGCCTTCATTTTTTTTAACTTGTACATTTTAAGGCATTTTTTAATTTATTGATTGAATGCATCTTGACAGGAGACAAAATAGCTGGAGAAAAATATTGTTGCATTAAGCATTTTTTTTCCTGAAACATTTGAAATGTGGAAATTTTAAACTTGTGTTTACAGTCTGTAGTCTGTGTGCAGACAAGCATTGCCAAGTCAAGCAGCATGATTTAAGAGGCAACTAGCTTTACAATGAAGTAGATTTAAACAGATTGTGACCCAATGCCTGATTTGTTACACGTATATTTTTCCCCAAATGGCTGCACTGTAACAATCTGAATATTTGATACTTATGGAAGCCCGTTTCCGCCACCGGGGAAAAAAATAATATAAAATTTAAGTCAAAATTTCGAGATATCAAAATAATCTCAAAATAACGAGAACTCTTGAAATATCGACTTAGTATCTCGAAATAACGAGAACTCTCGAAATTGAGAGTTCTCGTTATTTCGAGATACTAAATCAAAATTTCGAGTCTTGAAATAATGAGAACTAAGTCGAAATTTCGAGATAGTATCTCGAAATTGAGAGTTCTCGAAATAACGAGAACTAAGTCGAATTTCGAGATCTCAAAATAATGAGAACTAAGTCAATTTCGAGAGTTCTCGTTATTTCGAGATATTAAATCGAAATTGAGTCTTCAAATAATGAGAACTAAGTCGAAATGTCGAGATAGTATCTCGAAATTGAGAGTTCTCGTTATTTCGAGATACTAAGTCAAAATTTCGAGAGTCTCGAAATAACGAGAACTAAGTCAAATTGAGATCTCAAAATAATGAGAACTAAGTCAATTTCGAGAGTTCTCGTTATTTCGAGATACTAAGTCGAAATTTCGAGTCTTGAAATAATGAGAACTAAGTCGAAATTTCGAGATAGTATCTCGAAATTGAGAGTTCTCGTTATTTCGAGATACTAAGTTGAAATTTTGAGTCTCGAAATAACGAGAACTAAGTCGAATTTCAAGATCTCAAAATGAGAACTAAGTCAATTTCGAGAGTTCTTGTTATTTCGAGATACTAAGTCGAAATTGAGTCTTGAAATAATGAGAACTAAGTCGAAATTTCGAGATAGTATCTCGAAATTGAGAGTTCTCGTTATTTCGAGATACTAAGTCGAAATTTTGAGTCTCGAAATAACGAGAACTAAGTCGAATTTCGAGATCTCAAAATAATGAGAACTAAGTCAATTTCGAGAGTTCTCGTTATTTCGAGAGTTCTTGAAATTTCGACTTAGTCTTTCTTATTTCTGCGTACTAAGTCAATTTTGAGAGTTCTCGTTATTTCGAGATACAAAGTCGAAATTTCGAGAACTCTCAAAATAACGAGGACTCTCGACATTTCGACTTAGTATTTCAAGAGTTCTCGTTATTATCTCGAAATAATGATACTCTCACTAAATTTCGAGGTGTCTCGAAATAACGAGATAACTAAGTCGAAATTTCGACTTAAATTTTATATTATTTTTTCCCCCGGTGGCGGAAACGGGCTTCCATAGATACTTGACAATGTACAGCACAAAAAAAAGCTGTAATTTGCAATAAACTGTCTGTTGTAAATGTTTATTGCGTCTCCCACTAATCTTTGCTACATGAGTTTGGTACACACCTATTGTGAGACTGAGCGGGTTAGGGCGCTGAGCCTACGACTGGAAGGTCACCGGTTCAGACCCTGTGGTCAGCAGAGTGATGTCACCCTTGTGCAAAGCCCTTAAGCCCCAGCTGCTTCAGGGATTGGCTGACCCTGCTTTCTCAAATATACGTTGCTTTGGATGAAAGCTTCTGCTAAATAAATAAATGTAAATTTTGTCCAGCTGGAACACATCCCTCAGCTTTATTCCGGAAGTCCCAGAGAAATTATGTCCAATGAAATGCATGACTTCCTAGAAAGCCTAACCCCACCCCCACAAAGGCACCTTTTTATTACAAGCTCTTAATTAATATAATTGTGTGATTAAATGAGCGCAACCTCTACTTCACCAGGGAAAAAAGGGGGATACTTTTACTTTTAATTGCAAAACAGATTTCAGACACGCCAAAAATGTATGCATCGACTCAGCTTTCCAAATTTCAGATTAAATAGTTTTCACATTAAAGCTTTGAAAAAATCATCATAAGCTTCCCTTTGAGTCGTACAACTGCAGTAAGAGAGAATTAGCCTCCATGCCACCATGTTCTCATGCATGCAGTATTCCACAAGGAATAAAAAATATTTTTGGCCACCAATTCACCACTTAGGACACCAAACAACATTCATTAGCTGAAGTGCTGGGCCATAACCAGATCACAGTCCTTGCACTGTCACAGTTCATTTGACACTTGATTCTGTGAAGTGTGACAGTCTTGTAAAATGTGTGCTGTGATGGGGACAAAGGCCAGTGTCGCCCCTGCACCACCATCTCACATTTATCTTATTTCGTACAGAAATTGTTTCTCAAATTCACACTCTTGTTTGTTGAAATGTCAACACTAGAAGGGGTCTTCACGAGTCTTTACCTTTCATCTCAGTGGACTGGCTCTGTGTCAGTAATGCTCTTCGTCATCTTCCTCGCTGTCAAGTCCTTCAGCAAGCAGACCCTTATCTCTGCCTTTGTTCCTCCGTTCCTCTCTGAAGTCATAGGAGAACAGGCCTGGGTTACGTGCACACAGTTTGCTGTAGGCATCTGCCAGAGCTCCGAACTTGGCAACTGAGAGCTGGGTGGGCCGCAGGGTTGGGTCCACATCCGCCATCTGCAGCATTTGCTCGGCGAGCTCCAGACGCAACATCTCCGGGAACAACATCCTGGGAACAGGATACATGCCGCGCACCAGGGGAAAGAGAGCAGAAAATTTAAAATAAGCAAAATGCACTTCTACCTGCAGTCATTACATAAATTATCCCTCAAACAACACACCAATGAGTCATAACTGCTACGCTCAAGCTCCTCCTCTCTCTTATCAGGGCTCCAAGTCTACCATAACCACAGGGAAAATGATCCATGGTACAGGAAATTACTTTCATTGGTCAGGAGCATCCTCTAGAGGACAGGCAGAACAGTTAGTACAATGATAGGAAAAAAGGCGCCTTTTAGACATTCTTACTCGATCCCTCTGCGGCAGTATTTCCTCCGAAACTGGAAGACGTTCTTGACGACTTTCTCCACCAGCTTGAAGGGCTGCTGGATCTGGGGCTGAGCCAGTGGAGTGAAGTGCACTACGCCCACGTCTACCTAGACAGGCACACAAAAACAGACAGTCGGGCAGCTGGGGGTGGGGGGGGGTGATGAGGCACCCTTTGGGGGGACACTTAGGAAATCTTGTGTGTAGTGGGTGTGGGGGAGGGAGAGTGACGCAACACGTGATGGGAAGCCAGTTTCCGGTTGCCACAGTAACACCTGTGTGGAGGACTGTAAAAACCATCCTCTTCGTATGTGATTACCAAATCAGCCTCCCTCTCCAGCCACTGCTGCTGCTGCTAGCGCACAGCTTACCGCCAGCAGCCTGAGGAAAAGCGCGGATGTTCCCGAACGCGGTCCTTCCCTTAAGTAAAGCCGGCTGGATGGCGCACGTTTGCCACAGACGCAGGCAGCGTCTGAGCAGAGGGGCCGCATAAAAACAGGGGCAGCTGGACTCCTTGGGTGATTGGGGGGGGGGGGGGCGTGGAGGTTGGCTTTATCTCCTTTTGAGCTGCAGCTTCACCGTCCCCCCCGTCAGTGCTAAGCCGATGTGACAAACTGTTAAGGCAATTGTGCCAAAGCCCCGCTTCCCCCAGACTCCGCCGTGCTCCTGCCTACGGCTTTCTTCTTCTTTTCTGTGGGAAATAAAAGGGATTGCGGACAAAAGCTTCCTGACAAGCAGGGGCAACACAGGCGTGTTCCCGCGCGGCTGCTTTTGTTTTTCCCTTCATCGGATCCATCTTTGCGCGCTCTCAGGGTGGGCGCCCCCATCCTGGATGGAGCTCTCGGGAGCTCGACAGAGTTGCCGCCGGTGCTGGATCCAGACCAGCGGCGCAGCCGGCGGGGAAGAAGCCGGGGGATGGTAACGATCCGTGGGAAATAAAGGAATGCGTTGCGACTGGCTCAGGCTCTCCTGCCGGTGATAGTGCGCTCCGCCGGCATCGGGGCTCGGAACACCGTCCACAAGCAGGCACCTCGGAACACGGGCTGCACGGCAAGCAGGTAATGTGCGTTTCATTGTCCTTTTCAAGATGAGCACCGATTAACACACCAGTAGCCTGCTGTCGCACTTTGGTCCAGTCTGCTGTGTCTATGTATAGGTCTCTAAAATTCCCAACTGTTGCACTCGTACCCGAGTTACTCTGGATTTGTAATGATTATAAAATGTGCACAATCAGGGATAACGACAGGATAGTGGACAGCGTGATTATGTAGCATTACGCTAATAGGTCATCAGTAAAGCTCTCTTATTCTCTTGCCTGGTAACGAACAATGCCCGTGCTCTATTGTGGTCTTTGCCGCCATGGCGTCCACTGTGATCTAACTTCTGCATTCTTGGGGCACTAGGGAACCCATTTGTCTGTACCACAAGCGTCTTAAGGCAGAGAGGCATGCACACTGCAGAGTGAGCTGAGTTAGAGGGAAAGGCAAGAGGGCTTCACATCCCTGTTTGTGCGTCTAAAGCACTGCAACTGCTGCATTACGTGGGAGACTGATGAAGAGGGCAACTACGCCAGTGGCAGTCTTTAAGCATCACCTGTCAGCTTCAAATCACACAGAAACAAGCTCATGGGAACCAAATGAATTCAAGCACCTGTCATACCGCATGTGTGCAGACAACCTCGAATGTCTAGGGCAAAGCATTTAAAAAGGGGCAAATGGGATGTTGCTGCATTCACACGAGTAACAGTGGAGGATTCCTGGGAAGTCCGTCCCTGGGAGTATTCAGGCCATTTATGTTCTGTAGTTCAAGATTTAAGAGAGGAGTGGAAAGAAGTCGATATTCTGACTATAGAGGCTGCGGCATTTCAGCCACAGGGATGTCCGAGTCACTTTACAGTCTGATTTATGAACGTCGCCTATGCCAACATCAGCGGCTCCTCTGCTGTGATATATCCCGAACTGAACATCAATCCTTCTCTAACCATTCATGCTGAAAAATCCTTCTGTCGTAAACTTTAAAAGCCATTTCTCTATATTTTACTATGCCTTGCTTTGTTCAACTTTTCAATGCTACCCAACAGTAACTTCAGACACTGTTATTCTCTTTTTAAGGCTCCAAATATAAAATTTCCCTTAACCTCTCAATTTTATATTTTGTTACCTTGAGAACATTCCTCTCAAGAGGAAAACAGGGCTCATAATGATTTTAAAATCCTATTCTCAAAATTAATTCATTATCAAAGCTCTTTGAAAAATATTAATTGTCCCCATTATTATTATTTGTAAATCTGTAAAGCTGATATTTTCATGAAAGATATGAGATAATAACCTTTAGTCTGCATTTTCTTTTCACATATAGATTGTTACAATAAAAAAATAAAAATAAAAATGGGATCTGTGTGTGGTTGTTAGTTTAATAGGACCTATGGAAAGTGCATACCAGTTAACAGATAATTTAATATGACACATTAAACGCTGGTACAATCAAAATCCAGCAACTTCATCATATGAATGACTCCATAAATGGTTCCTCCTAAGCTTTTCATCTAAAGACAAGCAGACTCCCAAGCATGCCCCAAGCGGCAATCCGCCGTTTGTCCTTGTGAGCATTACCCAGCCGAGACACCGGCCGTCCTGGGGGTTCCACCAGAGCTGCCATCACATTCGTCTCCCTTGCCCGACTTCAGGCTCCGGCGAGCAAAGCAGAAACAAGAGAACGCATGGCTGCTTAATAGATGCACAGAAAAACAAGACACATTCATGAAAAGTCGAAGTAATGGACAGGGAGGGGGTGGGACAATTCCTTCAGAAGGACAGTTCACAATTACTTGGTCATGGTGCAAAGGTACTCAAGGGCAGCAGGTTACCAGGCTATTATACACAAAAGGCTAAAAGTGCTTCCCATCCAATACTTCCCATAAAGGAAAAAAAAACACACACACACACACATGCCTGAAACCATTCTGCTAAATTGCTAGATGGTATATAAGGCGCACACACATAACAGCACGTGTTCCCAAAGATTTTGGATAATATATCCACAGCAATATTTGTCCTGAGAATACTTTCACATATTTGAAAAAGGACAGAGTAATTCCCAAGATATCGGTCTTGTTTATGATATTTTTATATAAACTGAAATGAGAATTTCACAAGAATTTAACAGCACACAATTATCCCAATCCCACTGTGGGTTTCGGTTACAAGTTGGCATATTTCCCATTTTCATCTGTGCATGGCTTTGCCTAGCATGTACACATCTCAAAATAACCTCTAGAAACAGCTAAACTGGTTGTCTGCATCGACAGAGTAAGCTTCCGTGTCTTTTTCCCCAAAAGGTAAAATAAATACAAAATCGTCAGCGGTTTACAATTATTGCATAACATATGGGAACAACAATTTACCTAATAAAAATCAACTTAATTTGCTATACTCTTACAGTACTCTTATAGACAACTTCAACATAAAGACAGCCCCTTTTACCATGAGTAGAAATGCTTTTGGCAAAATTACAAAACCATGAATGCAACATAATTATTTGAAAGAAAGAAAAAAAACAAAGACACACAATGAAGGGACCAGCCGGGATGATTTTACATTGAATTTGCTCTTCTGGGAATCAGTAGGCTGCAGCTCTAACCATATGGTGACAAGAGACTGTAAAAGAAATGGAATGTGCCTGTAATGGCCCATCGGGCTGCAACACATCACCACACACTGCAGGCTACGTTAACCGCAGCTCCCCCACCCCCTATTCATTTCATATAGCATAAATACTGAGTCAGCACTTACACGAATCTTCATGATGATACAATCTCTCTCTCTCACACACACAGCTTTGTAAATTATATCTTTGTGGGGACTCTCCATTCATTTGTATGGAGAAAACTCCAATCCCAGCCTTAACCATAACCATAAGTAACCAAACAAAATATTAAATTTTTGGGATTTGTAGTTTGTTTTTTTTAATGCATTCACAGATCTTTCCCCACAACATCAAAAAATTGTTTTTTCTTACATTGCAGGAAACATTTGATCTCCACAATATAATATAAACATAATCCACACACACACACACACACACACACACACAGCCAGGAAAGCCTGAAGGTCAGCATCCACAAAGGTTTTGACTTAGAGCATTTGCAGCCCTCCTAACGACATTGGTATATATGCTTGAAGAAAAGCGGAAGCATACCTTGGGTCAATAGCCTTACTGGAACATACACTGCTTCATGGTGCATACGGTAACACTTACAATGGTCTCAAGGGGGAGCAGGATTTTCTATTATGAATACTATTTGAAATGGGCCGGCAGTACTGGACTCTAGCTGAACCTGGTTCAATAAACTTGTCTATAGCCATCCAACCCCCCAACCTCTTTGCCTTCTACTGTCACTGATGAATCAAAGCCATGTTAGTTTTCCCTTCCCCCATCTGCAGGGGGGACTGGTGCATGGAGAGGGGCAGCAGCCATAAGTTTAAGTCACCGTTGAGAGCTCACTGATGACCCAGTCAGGGAAGGGTCACGTTAGACACGCCTGGCTTTTAGTTTACCGCATCCTTGCTGAGATCACTTTCTCCATCAAGAAGAAAAACAAGGCAATCCACTGCATGTCTACACTCTTCCCATGGGAAATTACAGCGGGAAGATTAAAAAGGAAAGTGGGCATATTTAAACCACCTTGTAACATATATTATTTGTTTATCTCCAATTCTTAATGCAATTCCTACTAAGCTGTTGTAGGTTTACTGCGATATAAATTTTAATAAGAGCTAAAATGGGTCGAACGGATTTGACAAAATTAAAGTTGTATATTTCACAATCCGCGCTTACATAATTCATTATATAAGGCTCTCGATAACTTAAAAATGTGTATATTATTAAGGGACCGCAAAATACACTGGAAAACAATAGGCCACCTTCTACCCGCGGGGGACACGTCTATTCGTCAGAAACCAATATCGGCAAGCATTTTTTTTTTTAATGCATGACACGGCTCGTACACGTTTCAACACGTCTGAAAGCTGCACGTAAAGGCTGTTGGCGCTACTTAAACAGCAGCTAGTTACCGTAAACCTGGGTAAAACGAAACAGCTAACCTTCGGCGCGCAGCATCCGAGGACGGAGGGAGGCTCGCGCTCGTGGCGGGAAAAGCCGGCTCGCGGAGGTGAGGATGCGCGGGGCGCGACGGTTAACGAAGGACCTTAATTTAACAGCTATTTTCCTAAACGGACAGTAAAGCTAACCCGGTGCTTCGGTCCGACGACGCCTTCTCGAAAGCTCGGAGTCGTCGGGCGGAGGCGAGTTTGCTAGAGGCGAATCGGGAAGGAATAAACTCTATTGAGAGAAGGAAACACACACAGACCAGCTGCGCGTAAGTGGCGTTTTTCCTTCTTATCACGTTTAAGTCAAATAAGCCGCAATTGTTATACATAATGTGAATTTTCCCCGTTTATGAATGACTATTGTATGGACAGAGCCACACCAGAACGATGACCTTTTAAATTAAGCCTGTCAGCTCACAGACTAATGACGTGGGAGCGCTTTTCTGTTTCAATGGACGGAAAATAACGCGTTTTCACACACCGGGTGAGCATGTCGTGGATCGGGACACAGACCTCCCCTAACAGCCAAAGAAAGTGATGACACGTCTGGATTTGTGCAGTTAAGCCCTCACCCCCACCTTTCCCCCCCTCCAGCACGCGCTCAGAAATCGCTGCAAACAAACTGGCTCGTCATAGCACTGGGTCTGCACCAGCGGAGAGGTAAGCATTTTCAACATTTAAGTAAACACATTATACATTCACTTTAACTCTGCCCTAGATTCCTGTCTATGATGACAATTATTTCAACACAATGCGAGGAAAGCCTGATTTCCTTCACACTCCCATGATAAGGAAAAGCATTAAAATGTTTGACATGTTGCCTTTTTAACTTTTGAAGCATGCTGAATATAAAATCGGATGTGATTAAACGATGATTTATATGTAATGTTCTGCCACGCATTACTGGTGAGGAAGGTCACTGAAGCAGACTAACAGTAACACTCTCCTTCCCAGAGAGGACACTGCAGCTTTAAGTACATTTATTGAGGCTTGCAAATATCAGAAACTCCTTCCTCCTCTCCAGCAGCACTTTCGAGCTGCTCCCACTCAGTTCGCCTGCATCTCCCCTGAACAGGCACATACGCACAGATTCTGTCTCGCTCTCCAGTCTGCTCTTGTCTGGCCTCACGCTTTCCTTTGTTCCCCAGAAAAGCAGGGGGGGGGGGGGGTTGCATCCTTCTAAATTGAATTCTTGTTTTGCTTTTTCCACAGTCCACAGGAGCTGGTGCTGAAGACTGATCTGTTCCTGGGATCTGCAGAGGGGGGATACAAAGGGGAGGCAAGAGGACGCAGGGCAAGGGTGCCTTTGACGGTGGGGGGAGGACAGGGGTGGGCAAGGTGCAGGGATGGCTTCCGCTGGCATGCAGATCTTCGGCTTCATCCTAGCACTACTGGGCATCTTCGGGGCCACAGTGTCCACACTGTTGCCCAACTGGAAGGTGAGCGCTGACGTGGGCTCCAATATCATAACGGCCATCTCCCAGATGCAGGGGCTATGGATGGACTGCACCTGGTACAGCACGGGTATGTTCAGCTGCACTCTGAAATATTCCGTGTTGGCACTGCCTGCCTACCTGCAGACGGCACGCACCTCCATGGTGCTTTCCTGTGTGCTTGCCAGCCTGGGCTTGTGCCTTGCTTCCCTGGGCCTCAAGTGCACCCGCTGGGGAGGTGGCCGGCAGTCCAAGAGGCACACAGCCATTGCAAGCGGGGGATGCTTCATTGTGGCTGGCCTTCTTTGCCTGGTTCCTGCATCCTGGTTCACCAATGAGGTCATCACCAGCTTCCTGGACTCCAGTGTGCCGGAGAGCAATAAATTTGAACCAGGAGGGGCCGTGTACGTGGCCTTCGTATCTTCGGGATTCCTCTTTGTTGGGGGATCAATTTTCTGCATGTCCTGCCCAGGGAAGCGACGGGGCCACCAGGATCTGATCCTCACTCCTCCTGATAAGCTACTGCAGCATCAACAGCAGCAGCATCTCATCCAGCAGCAGTTACAGCATCCGTATTGCTCCCTCTCGCCCCTGGACAGCAAGGCTGGCTATAGCCTGCAGGACTATGTGTAGCCTGCGACCGTTACGGGAGGAACACCGCACCACTCCGCAGCTCTGAAACTGCGAGATGGAGGAGGAGAGATGTGGGGAAGAGGGGGTGGTGATGACTGACACCCCCCCCCCACACACACATACTTTCCTGTACTGCAAGCACAAGCGATGTGGAGAGATTCCCCCAGCAATGTTTCAAATACTGAATATACCCTGTAAACCGCGCCGTGGCATTGCTGGCTTGAGACAGGAGAGAGAGCCATCGACTAAATGCAGATGTCCAGCACCAGGAAATATTAACAGTTCCATGGGGAATGGATTAACTGTAAGAAGCATTTCCGCCCCCCCCCCCCACTCGCCAAAGGTTTGAATCGAAAAAGCAATTATTTAGCTACTAACAATCATTTAATTTTAATAAACTGGCAATACATCCTAAAGAGGCAATATGTGAATGTTATCCTTAGCTTTTTTGTAGTTAGCCATTTGCTAGAAACAGAGTGCTGATTTTGATCATTTTGTGTCTTATTTTGATAAGCTAATGGAATGGTGATTATTCTACCACAGCATGCTGTCTGAAGTTAGTGAATTATGCAGCGGAATGCCTAGTAGAATCTGAAAAGCAGACACTATATATCGAACTTAACCTATAGTAAACATACACCAGTAAAATTGTTCAAAACAACAACATAAATAAGGACACCAAGTTGCAGATTAAACCAAAACACAAACATGAGCCACAGTCTTGCTCCGGTTTCTCAAAAAAAAGGGAGCAACACCCTCCACGGGTTCAGCAGACAGCTGATATAATGCCGCTGTTTCGGTTCCCATTCACTCCCAACAAAAACAAGCCGTGTCTAGCCGGCTGCACACTGCTAATTTATTCTGTATACACACACACACACACACACACACGCCGCTCTCGCACACTGTGCAGCATGTGCTTTTTCACTTGCGTTGTCCTCACTGCCATGGTAACAGAGCCTCTCGCCCAAATATCTTTATTGTGTGCGTGTCTGTGTGTTGGGGTTGCTGGGGAGGTGGGGTGGGTCAGAGATTATAGCCGGAATGGCTGTGGCACCACCTCGAGCCCCCTATTGTGAGATAACATCTGCCATCATCAACCCCACTGTTGGGGTGGCTCAGTGCCTGGGGACTAAGCTCCTTCAGCTACACTACTCTTGCAGGTCTGGTCCCCTCCCCTCCCCCACCATTCCATCTGATCAGGAAACGCTCCATGGAGGATACAGTCTACAAACAGTCCATCGCTAAACAGAGGGATTCCCTCATCGACCTCATATTCCAGAGCTGCAATGTGGTAAAGGACTATGTTTATAAAAGTGAATGCAATATTATAAAATGCAGGGAGAAGCAGTTTGAGCATGATTTAGACTAAAATGAATGCACTGTGCTGATATTCAAATGGTGCATGCTTTATAATCTCATGAACATTTGAGTGTGTGCTTTTTTTAAATCTCATTGTCCATCTGCGGCTTCCTCACGTCACTAGAACATATGTTGCAGTTTCTCACTCACGGGAGACTATGCACCTGGAGTTCCAATAGCCCAAACCCTGCCGATGAGCAGACTGGGCCTCGTTTTCTCACGCTGTTTGTATGGTCCTCTCTCTCTCTCGCTCTGTGTGTGTGTGTGGCCACGGCACCCATTGCCAGCTGCCACATCTCCAGTCCAATACAGGCAGCACCACTGACGGCCCTGGGCCGAGATTCGTACGGTGCTACGTTCTTTCCGTCAGGCAGAGCCCCATGAGTGGGTGAGCAGATGGCAGAGCCCAGATCGCTGCTCACAGGCTACCACACTGCTCACTGCAGGCACCTCCGGCAAGTTGGCTGCCCTTATGGGCAGATTATATGCTTCATTGTCAACAGTGTGACAATCTGTCATAAACTCTTGCCTGTATTAACTGAAAACACAAAATAGTATCCTTAAAATAAATAGAAAATTGAAAGCCTTGGTTCAAAATCTGCACCAAAAAAGAAAAAAAACAGTACCAATAATTTTCTAAGGTCTTTTTCCTCAAACAAATTGGTCATACCGTTTCCTTGATATGGGCTTATTCGTCAAGCCTGAAGACTCTAGGCACCTGTGAACAATGAAGTGAAATTTGAATTCTCATTTTTGTATGTTATAAGCACCTCCATATTTACCTAAGAGAGCACAGCAGTCATCACCAGCTGGTGAAAGTGCCCAGACTTAGGGCAGTTCATATCTTTTTTCCAGGTTATAGCCATGACTATATGCCTCATTGAAATACCAGAGCATGCTAATATCTTCTTTATAAGAAGACTACTTGACACTTGGAGTGCAAGATGGCGAATGTCAGTTTGTTGCCAAGGGTAAGGGCAAAACGAGCCCTGACCTGCTTGCTGCCATTCCGTTAGCTGTACATATCAGTTCCACGGACGTCCTCCCAGACTGGTTTCGGTGGATAAACCAGCTGAGAGGGAGGAACCCCTAACTGACGTGCTTCGTCATTGTGCAGCTTCCCCATCTGCACATTGCTTCATTACTAGTGCCAAACGCTCCAAGCACAAAACAGTGGGCTTGTGTGTCAAAATTCAGCTATTGTACAGTGCAAATACAGATTGGGTTATTTTGATAATGGCAGTTTATTTTTGTCGATGTCAAAGCTTTTCGTAGTTTGCTAACAAATCAGAGCGGCTCAGGATGTTTCGTCGTCTCGGTGTGCTTGTGCAAGTAGTTATATTTTTATTAATAAAATTATTTTGTGGAAGCTAAATTGTGGCTGTGAAATCATTTTAATGTCTTTCTTGGTTCTCGTCTGGAGATAGCATAAATGTGCCTGCCAGAATGTTTTGGATGGAACAAGATGTGCAGAGCGTGGGATTGTTGGCAGCTTGCAGTCCTCACATTGGCTATGCAACATACCCTAAAGAGCAGCTCAGTGGGAGAGGACTCAGTCTTGTAATAGGCCTTCAGAACACATCATAAAAACGTTCAGAAAATGAATACGAGCAACGAGATGCCAGCAGAGCTCTTTTCAAAAACATTATAAACCTGATCAGTACTGCATCAGACACACGTCAGCCTGTTTTGCTCCCCTAAACCATACACGACTGGCATCTCTGGGTACCCCTCAAAATGTCAACGCGTCCTTTGCTTTTCCTGCTAAATATGGTGTGTGTGTAATTTTAGTCTGAACTGAAAACAGCTGGGTAGGCAGGCAGAACTGCGAGAGGATCTGCATTGTTTCTACCCGGTTTGCTAAGTGTTATGTCAGCTTAATTTGTCCGGCAAAGAAATCCATCATGGCAGTAACACACCTAACCCACAGCGGCCAAACACTCAAAGCTGTTCCACTCTCAGCAATTATTTTCAGCATTTTCCCTTCAGGTCTCTTTTATATCTTAGCCAAATTTATCATTGCAGCACTGAATGTTATATATTGAATGACGACTGCAAAAATTAATTTGTTTTTTTTAAAGCATATTTTTCATGGCCCCCGTTGCAGCCACTGTTCTGATGTGTGGAAATATTTTTCCTTAAACATCGACCCGACAGGATTATTCAAGAATTGTAGGAGTTGTGCAATTCACTGATGATCAAAAAAAAAAAAAAAAAAAAGGCCCTTATAGGCAAACACTAATAAGATCTGTTCCTCTGTGTATTTAACCTACATTCTGGTTAAAAAATTCTACCCACCAGAGCAGTCAGGATAGATTATGGACACTAGCTGCAGCACGATGAAAGCCTTGAACGGTGAGCTCAAGGCAGAGGGGTTCCTATCGTACCCCAAACATCTTTACTCCTTACAGAGCAAAGTTCATTACAACAAAATTCAAAGTGCACCGCAGGCAGCATTGGAGGAAACAACACGAGCGTTAAGCCAGTGATGGATCTCTTAACATGCTACCAGGCAGAGGCATTGAGAGAGAGGTTTCAATTACTGACACAATAGGCAGAAATAAAGCAGTCCATCACTGCACCATCAATCACCAAGCCTATCACCGCTAAAAACGTCCCACCTATCTCTGTGCGATCACTCAATATTTTTCATCTCCAGGCACATTTTTATGGAAAACAATCGTAATAAAGACTGCAGGCAGAATACGGTCATCACCCTCAGGCTGCGATCAACCAAGGCAGGTTAGGAGATCCCCTCTAAGACCAACACATGAAAGGGAGCTCTTAATTACAGAAACGCTGCTTACAAAACCAAAATAGAGTAGGACAAAACGGAGAATGCGTAAGGCGATGCATCATTTAAATAACATTGTGAAATCAGGAGCCTTCACGACAGGCTGTTTTGGCTGTCTGCATATCAAAAACTGCAGAACAGATTAATTCTCACCATGATTTTCAGTAATGCAGAAATATGAACCTTCAGTAAGCACTTAGTGAAGTATCACATTACCATATACAGTGATTTTTGTATTGGTACAAAAGATTATTTCTATACAAAACCTCGCTCAAGTGAATGGTATTTAGATTGACGTGTTTTTGTGTTCACTGCAAAAACAAATACAAAGAAGCTGATTAAAGATGCATTGTTGACCTCAAGCAATGTTGCCATTGCACCTGTAATGTGATTTTTGTTATTTCGTTAATTTAAACGTTAAAGAAGCAGTCACTGCCTTGGTAGAATGCTCTACAGTAGGGTATTTTTAGCTTTTAACTTGGGACATTGATACATGAGGCAGTGTGCCTTCAGGCATTTACCGGCTCACGAAACGTCATTGAAATCTCTTTCCTTTGCTCCTGATGCATTAATTGACCCCGTTTATTTGCAGCGAATCGAGAGCAAGGAGGAAAACACAATTTTTCCAGCAGCTTGGCTCTGAACTAGAAACATCCATTTAAGTCAGCAGATTTTAAAATGAGCAAGAATGTATTTTTATATGGCTGTAATCTGGCAATAAAGCCTTATTCATGGTAGAGTGAGAGGAACATAACAGGGACATACGGCAGCACAAAGGAAGGTGATTTGGCTGGCTAAACACAAATCCTCAATAGGAATCCAATCAGCATTCAATCTGATTCCACACCCTACACACCAGCCAGTCACCAGTGTGGCTGCAGCCACAGTCAATCACTGGCACGCCATCATAAATACATCTTGGCCAACCATCCAACAACGTCAGACCTTATCAGCAGCTTCCCCCTGCTTACGTGTACTCCACCTGCTTTTCAACATTTACTTGCCTGTTTACAACAGTAGGCAAGTTTAGAAAGCGCAACACCCGCCCATTGCTCCTGAGAAGACCAAATACCAGGAAGACATCAGTCCTCCATCTCGTCGCCTTTGGAGATGGTGGAATGAAGCAGCCATTATTCAGGCTGCCGATGACATCGGCACAGACATCCATCTGCCCGAGGACACACCGCTCTGCATTATATCGATCTCCGTCATGGTTCCCGTCCCTTGGAGTGCCGCTCATTCTGTCCACAGCTAGGGGGTCCCTCCCTGTCACAAATCTCTGCATGGCTGTTCCGTCTCTATGGAGGGGGGGGGATTCTTTATTCTTTTTTTTTTCAGCCACTGAGCATGTAAGCATGAGAGAGGTAGGCGGGGTGCAATTAACACCTGAGAGTCTCGCACTCACCATGCTGTTCTTGTAATCGAGGTTAAATGGTTACTTGTGTAAAGCGACACAACACGTCTTTCTACAGATGGTACAGTGAGGTACAGACAAGTAGTATTAGATATCTTAATCTTACTGATTAATTAAGCCACAAAATGAATATAAATAAATCCATTTTTAAATATAGCAAACACAGCACAACACAGATTTAATGAACAAAAAGGATTTCAGAAAAGAAAGTGATAATTATTCGTATAATGTATGAAAAGAGACTGGAGCTGCTGTTCAGAAGGGAAAACATTTACACATATTTGTTGCTATGGGACACCATACTACACGTGTACAATTACCCAACGTAACCCTCATATTTCAGAAACGATGAAAGAATCCTTGAGCTGAAACCCCATTTTAAAGTTTGTCTAAATTGTGGTTTCATCCCAGTGCCTGATTGCACATCTGCCTAAACACGTTCACAGTACACACATGCTTAGCTGGGACTGTCAGTAAGGTGCCTCTGTCTGATGAAAGAGTCATTGCAGTCATTTATTCTGACAGCATGAATTATAAGCCATATTTTCATTCACTTAACTCATTCTCACACACCCCCCCCCCCACACACACAGTCGGGATGAAATATTTACTTGCCTGTTCATATCACCCACCCAGCAAGAAATTCAGTGTTTGAAGTTCTCAAACGGTTTGACTTCTGTGCCAGATAAGCAGAATTTTCCCCTCCACACGTCACTCCGCTAGATGTCAGAAACCTTCACAGCATTCCTGCACATCTCCAAAAACACCTCTAGTAGGCAGCGACTTCTGAAGGCCCGACTGCAGCTTCCTGGATGCAGCGGACTATCCGCATACCGCGCAAGTTAGACGCTCATGAATGCAGCGCACGCTGCTGCATCAAACCCGCCTCCAACATTATCAAACCTACGGGGAGCGGGGCTGATGCAAAGAAAAATAAAAAAATTAAAAACTGTCCTACGTTGCAGCCGATCCGGATGGGAGATTTCCCCATTTCACAAGGCACACTCCCCCTCAGGCGGACTGTGGTGACGTTCGATAAAAACACGCCAACATGGTGGGAAGGGAGTAGGATCCTACCTTGGGTTTTGGTACGAAGGCTCGTCCTGGGATGGTGAAACAGTCGCGTACTTTGCAGAGGTACTGGGTCATGACAGACAGGCGGCTTCTCTGTCTGCTCCCGGGGCCGGCAGTCAGCCTCTGGATGGGTAAAACCTCTGCGTGACCTCGTATGTTGGCAGGATTGGCTAACAGGTTCACACATTCCTGGGGACAGCAGCTGCTGTGTCAATTCACACCACGCTCTGGGATGCTAGAATTCCCAGGCATTTGGACCTCCAGCGTCGCTTGCCTAAGTGCAAACTCCTTGACTGCTATAATGCGTGATGCCCCAGAGAGATGGCGGGGAAGTGGGGCATCGCACACCACACACGCTCCTGAGCAAGTTGCATTATGGGAATTTAAACAAAAACCCAGGTTTACAATTGCTATACGACATTATTTGTTCATCACAGATAATATTCATGACTAGCATCTTTCAGATCTGCGCAGAAAATACTCTGAATCATTCAAGTAGGACAACGACACTTCAAGTACAGAGGAGATGGACTCGGGGGAGAAAAACAGAGATGATAATACAGGCATATTACAGAAATAGTACAAAGCTCCATAAGATGAAGGCTGACGACACCTCGTCCCTCGTGAGACAGTGCCAGCTTTTCATAATGTCGCACCTTTTCACCGAGACGCCACCAAATGCAAACGAAGGCAAAAAAAAAAACAACTGCACGCACCTCCGCGACCTCCTTCTGGAAGGTGAGCGTCAGCCGAGTGCGTCCGAATGCAAAGGGACCGGTCCGGTCCGACATGGCCTCCAGCCACTTGATGATGAGGGGGGTGGAGACGCTGAAGGGGAGGTTCCCAATGATGTGCAGCTCTGGAGGTTCTGTTGAAGGTGGGGGGGGCACCACATGTATCATTTCTAATGACACACTGTCATGTTACTGCAGCAGGAGGGTTGCATAATTCAGCATAGTACAGCGCTGTATATAGTACAGCGCTGATGCAAACTGGATGACAGCCCAAACTGGGCCCTAGATGCTGGGACACTCACCCTCCTCCCATTTCCTGGCTATTTTTTTCGGAAAACCTCTGTCCATTCTGTAGGTCAGTATGTCACCTTGCACCATCCTCAGTCTCCCTGGGGCCGCCTCCGACAGGAGCTGCAACAACAGCCGGCTAATTAGGGCCCTGGTGCCCGACGGCCCGGCAGAATCAGACAGATAATGAAAGGAAACAGGGAAAATGAACACACTGTCACATGACATGGCTAGGGCAAGCCACAGCACTGCTTTTAAGCCATAAAATATATATGTTGCTCTAGAGAAGTGGGAAAAAACTGTCAAAACTAGGCATGAATGGGAAATCGCAGTGACTGCAAACATCACTGATTAAACCATACATTAAGCATTCACTTGCACTCCTGCTTTTGCCATTTTTGTTGTTAACATTCTTTTTAAAAGAAACTCGCTGCATGGAATATTAATTTGCTGGATCTAAAATAGGATACTTCACTTAACGTTTTAAGGGAGCACAGCTCTCACTTACGTTGCCTCCCCCGTGGTTGAGAGAGAAGTCTCTTAGTCTATCCAAGCATGTTAAGCGAACATAAGACCTGACTCCGGAAATTAGCTGGAAATTGTTTCCACTTTGAAAGATGCATCAGCTGTCTTCCATTTGGGGTCCATTAGACAAAATGAAAAAGTGAATCTCGAATGTTCAGATAAAGCACACGCAACATCACTTCTCATTTTAACTGCAGATTTAAATTAATTTTATAGAATACGTATCTGTATGTTGCATTAGGATTATACTATTGCTGTACATTTTGTCATATTACCCCATAAGTCCATAATACAGAAATCTGTGATATTTTGAATGAGCCTGATCGTTACAGACCTCAGTATAATAATCAGAAACAGATGTAAAAGGAGGACTTTTCAACCAGATTAGTTAGTCCAGTCATCCGACAAGCAAGTGATCCTTAGTTACCTGCAACACATCTTACCTGTGAATAATGGTAACTACACAGCTCTGAATAAAAACGGCTGTATGGAATGAAGGGCAGCATTAGCGGCTTAACACAAGGCCCATTCAACAGCAACTTGCATGTAAAAATATGCTAATATCTGCCCAAGAGTATACTGTGCAAAATGGCGATTTAGCGGCATTAGGCTAAAGCGTGAAAGCAAACACCTGGGGAGCAGCGCACAGGATGGCCTGCTCTACCACAAGCGGCCTGTTCTACCACAGGCGGCCTACCTGCAGGCCCGGGACGAACCGCGCGTCCTTCTCCACCACCAGCAGGTCGGCGGCACCGGCGTTCAGGATCGAGCGGGTCAGGCCCCCCGGCCCAGGGCCCACCTCACACACGTGGGCGCCCTTAAGGCTCCCCGCCTGCCGCACGATTTTGTCTGCATGGAGACACAAAGGATCATGGGAGTTCTGCAAAACAGCTCATATGCTCACCCACCGCGATTAACATTGGGGGAACAAAAAGCTGCAAAACACACAGTAAAAATGCAGAAATGGAACAAAACATCCCAATACAGGCAGGGAGCCTGGTATGCCATATGGCCACTATGTGTTCTTTTAAGCCAACAGTCTTATATAAAACTCGACAAATGCTTTTCCATTTCAACATTGGTTCTAAACACACCTACACACATTTCTCTGACACACATAATAGCCAGATACAGCAGGGGGTCTAATATCCCTACCCAGTGCCATAACCACTGCTCTTTCCTCCATTTCCTCTTTGTGGCCCTCTGACTCATCCACACCCTACCTAATTGCTGTAAAGCACTGACTGCTGTGTCAAGCTACACTGCTGATCCTGATGGCTCTGTCAAGCACCTCAAGGCAACTGTACTGGTGGCTGAACACCCAGATTTAACTGAATTCCCTCATCTGAGTCATTGTAGGTGAAACTCAAGAACAGCTCACCTGTGAGTTTCATGTCCAGGAGAAAATTCTGGGAAAGTTGCCTCTCTGCCCGTAGGTTGTACAGCCGTATGATCTCTCCGATGGTCGGAAGAGGGGGCAGCCGGAAGGACGCCATTTTGCCAGACGCTGCCATTTCTCAGCTGTTAATAAGCACAATAGTTTTACTGTAACTAACATCGTTGAAGTGCAAACTGGAATATCACAAAAATCACTAACTTGCAAACTTACAGTTGCAGTCAGAGCTCACCAATGGATTACAGAGTTTAATGACGTTCATCTACTTGTATTCACAGGGCTAACAGTACTGATTTCAGAAGCTGCAGCAACAGCCTCAGATTTATACATTACAGTCACAGGTCTAAATTGCCATCCATCCATTTCCTGCACCCACATTTCTCTATTCAGGGTCACGAGGGGTTCAGAGGTCATCCAAGAAGCCACAGGCGCAAAGCAGGGAACAAGCCAGGAGGGGACACCAACCCATCGCAGGGCACACTCACACACACAGAGCACAGAATGTTTTTGGACTGCGGGGGTAAACCAGAGTACCCAGAGGAAACCCGAACGGGGAGAACATGCAGACTCCACACACATGTGACCCAGGCGGAGACTCGAACCCAGATCCCAGAGGTGTGAGGTGACAGCGCTGACCACTACATCAACATGCCACCCTATAATATAGTCATTCTTCAAAATAATAGACATATATACACAATATAATTGTGGTGATGTTTCATTATTTGACTACACAAAGATTGGAATCCAATAATGTTTATGGGTTGTTGTGTAAAAAAAAAAATCTATAAAGTACGGAAAATCTATGCTTAGTTGCAATGGATTGGAAAAAGGACTGTTTCTGATTTAAACTGTTTCTATTCAGTTTAATCAGACCGTTTTAAACGGGGGCTGCATATAGCACAAATCTCTAACCATAAAATCCACAACATTTAAATATGGACATAACTTGTGAAATCTTGAATAAGATGTTCCGTTATAGGAAAAAAAAATCTTATGCTTGAAGACCCAGGAAACGTGGTTAAGTAAGATTCATATTATGTTAAAAGATACATGTAACAGTACTATGAACCATCGCCCCCACGTGGTCAAGTCAAGTACATCTTTCAACCAAATAGAAATAAAATAAGTTCAAGTTTAGTGGTCATTGTCAATGCACCACAGCACACAGTGCGCAACAACGAAATGTGTCCTCTGCATTTAACCCATATGTGACTTTCGTGACATAGCAGGGGGCAGCTAATTCAGCGCCCGGGGAGCAGTGCTGGGGCGGTACCAGGGTATCTCAGTGGTACCTTGCTGGTCGGGGATTCGAACCTGCAATGTTTCAATTACAAGTGCGCTTCCTTAACCGTCAAGCCACAAATACCTTCATACGCAACGATCCTACACAACATACATGTTACTCACTGAATTTAAAAATAAATTTTAAAAAATGGCCATTTTGTGATAACCAATTTACTGATACACTGACTAATTAAAAATGAACTGATGATTACACAGACATTCTGAGAGATCGGAGCAACACTTGATGAACTGAAACAGTACATATTATTATTGCTAATAAAAGAATAACAACAACAATAATAATACTTTACAACATAAAAATGCCAATGTGGCTGGACAGTTCAAACGAGAGACAGTTCGGCCATGCATAAATTAACAGAAGCGCTGTCATACAAATTGCGGCAATAAAACACCACAGGTAAAGCAGTCTGTACTGCAAATTTATGGGGAGTTCTAACCATTCTTTTACTTTGTTCGAGGTAGACAACTGAACTCTAAACTGCTTAACGGTAACTAAACTAACGACATGCAGGCTGCCGAAGCCCCGATAATTACTTCGCCTTTATACTAAATATATATTACTCCAGCAAGAATTTTATTTTCTGTAACAATCTTGGAACAACATGTGCCCAAAACGCCGTTAAATCAAAGAAAATATAATAACGTGTTTCTCACCAGAAGGATGATGTTCCGGTTGTAAGGGGCAACGCCACTAAATCGACAAGGATTTATCCAATAGCGTTTAAGACAGAGTAAACCACTTCCAATCGGTTAAGGAAGGGCGGGACTTCCGTTTGCCCTTGTATTGGTAACCTGCTCAATGACATTCCGAAACCGCTAGAGGGAGTTACGACATCTTTTTAGTCATATACAGATTATACACTGGTGGCACTTAAGAAGGTGTGTAGTATAAGGTAGGAAACATTTTTCCCTCCGAACCGTTTCATAGGTAGAAAGTAGGGGTGGAGTCGAAACAAATAACGTATTTTTTACGAATACTTATTTCGAACAAATACTTTAAAAATATTTGTACTCGGGAACAAGAAAAACTTTATATCAAAAAGCTGCGTTTCCTCATGAGACCGCAGTGCATGCCCGGATGAGTGAGTGAGTGAGTAACGTTCAGGAGTCGGGGTGGGGGTGAGGGGAAGTAAAAGAGGTGACTGACAAAGTGTGCTCCACACACAGTATTGCCAACTTAGCGACTTTGTCGCTATATTTAGCGAGTTTTTAGACCTCTCTGGTTCTGTCTAGTATATTTTCAAAAAAGCGACTAGCGACTTTTTCTAGTGTTATTGGAGACTTTTGGAGACTGACGTGGAAGCACGTATCCTTCTCTTCTCACCGAGCAGCGGGTGCTGCCGTGGGTTCCCCTCCCCTCCCCTCCCCTCCCCTCCCAAGGCGCTCACAGTCCTCGCGCAGCAGCCCCGCCCAGCTGCAGTCAGAGCAGGAGATGTTCACCCTTCCGCATCCAGACCGCAAATGAATTACGCATGCGCGAAGCCACCACTGACTGACCCTGCCCTGGCTTATTGCCAAAAATTCCGCCAAGTAAACAGTTAAATGACAGTTTTCAAGAATAAGTAACTCCGCCGGAGTGTATTTGGGGTCACTTTTGCCGGTCCCAAGCCCGGATATAGGAGGAGGGTTGGAATTGTGATATAAAAAAACAAGAATCGTCAGAAGAAAGTTCATTTGTAGTTCTAAACGTATTTAGGGTGTTTTTTTAACCACTCTTTGTCTCTCCCACGACATTATTCCTATCTCCTACAGCGTCCATTATCAATACATGCATTATTACATTATGCAAATTCGGCGATGGCGTCATTTAGTGACTTCTAGCGACTTTTGGGACAACCAATAGCGACTTTCCTTGCTGAGGAGTTGGCAACAGTGTCCACACAGCAACAGAGAAGGCTCGGCTGAGCGAAAGAAGACTTAAGGGACAAAAATCTATTCAACAAAAATAGTGATGCAGTTAACTGGGTTCCGGAGGCAGTTTATAACTTTCGGGAAGCGGAGTTTGATCGGGAGATTATTCCATTACGCTGCATTATTGACGTCTGCAGTCAGGTGCTCTCATGTTCGCTCTGTTTACGTAGCTCTGTTAGCTCGGTAATTTAGACAATATGCTGTTGACAGAGTAACGTTAACGTTCGGTTAAAAAGGTTAAAAGAATGCTTGTGTAGTTGTGTCGAATTGTATGCACTTGTGGGAGTTATATGGTACGTTTAAGTTACTCTGTCTACTGCATATCCATAATTATTATAATGGATATAATTAAAGAATATTTATACTATAACGTAAATTAGAAGTGTAACGCAAAAAACTGGACTTTTACGCCTAGTTTGAATTTTACTCGAATACAAATACAAATACTTTTCCCCCCTCAACAAATACAAATACAGATACAAATACCGGCTGCTTTGCACACCCCTAGTAGACAGTTCAGAGAACTATCGCTAAATAGAGCTGTTGTCTTCCTGTTAGCTTTAATGAATCTGATCATTCCCGTTGGCTTTTCCCCCTATATACACAGCTGCCATCAACTGGGTGTTTTTGGTTCACACATCTTAGCCCCTCTAATGCTTAGCTTGGCAGCAAGTGAACCTCTTGACCCGGTCTGCAGCGGCACGAAATTAGTTGCAGTCACTTGATTCGCCGTTTAGGGGTGTAAGCTTTATTAACAAGCAGGTGTACCAAATGGACTGGCAACTGAGTGTAGTCCGTAATTTAAAAAATGAATCAAAACCTACCATTTTACATAGGTCGTCTATTACTCATTGATTTAAAAGAAATTCATGATTATTTACTTTCGCAAAACACGGGAAAATTACGAATAAATCAACCAATTCAGTCAATAAATATATTATGTTAAAGATATGATTCGTTACGCAAAGATCCACAATATAAAAGTATAAACGTTAAATAGTATAGGCTACTAAGAGTACAAGACATTTTTATAAACTTTTTCTATAAATATATATTTCAGATACATATAATATATATATATATGTATGAGGAAATGATAAGGTGATCTTGGTTTGAGTGAGTGTATATTATACATACAATTTCCATTTTTCATGCAAGCTAAACAGAATTTTATGGAGGCATTCACCTTTACGTAACATTAACCATGTCCCTGTTTTCATGAAATATTTTTAATCTATGCTTACCATGAATAAATTACATTCTTCCCCTTCAGATCCAGACAAATCAATATTCAAATGAGGATGTGTCAAAGACAAACATATATGCACTTTGGGCACACTTAAACACCGCCATATTTTAACTACTACGGCATTTATTTTCCTGGGTGCAAAATCTGCGTGGTTTGCGGCTTGACTCATGAAAAACGAGCTCATCCTCATCAGTGTGTCAAAATCTCTCCTTGTTGAAGTGGAAGTGCACTCCCCGCAGTGTTGAAGTTGAGTGAGTGCTGCACATTTTGCGGATGACCTTGGAAATGGCTTTGGGTCCACACAGGAACACACCGATGTTGCTGCTATGGCAACCAACAGAAAAAAAAATAAAAAATCACATAAGATGTAGTTTCAGCAGGACCAGATGTCCAATCTATCTCCCTATCTATTTCCTGGCTGTCAGTCCATTCCTCTTGCTAGACAGAGCTATCCGTCTGCGCCATGTGACACCAGAGATGTGTACTGTACGGTACAAGAACAAGCCATACCTCTTGTCTCCTGCCACCATCGAGTTATGGTTCACATCCATTTTGAATCCCTATTTGTGTCACTTACCCAACCCACATTAAGTCACCATTTCGTCATGAAAAAGATGCAATGCAATGCCAACAGGATGGTGGCGGGTCAAAAACTATACATGAGCATCGCCACAAGGTGGCGTATTGTCACCAATAACACCATATTGCTCATCTTATTTTGGTGATTTCAGTTGTGCATCTGCTGTAATTTTCTTGACGTGTGTGTTTCTTCCTTTTTACTAAATTGTTTTCATGTTTTTCATCGTCATTTGGCGCTTCAGATGATATTTCTCTCTTGAGAAAACAATTATTTGAAAAATGACTTTACTGCTAACTTCGGCTAACAAGGACCAGCACAGAGGCTCCGGACCAGGTCTGGTGTAGCAATAAAAGGCCAAATATTCGGCACCTTTCCAAACGCAGCGTTACAGTTTTTCATCTTTTGGGGTGAGAGAATGTGCTAATTGAATGCTGTTGAACCTCCTTCCTAAAAGCATGACTGTATCTGAGACGCATCAGAAATTCCAGGGACAAAATGCTTTGATCCCACAGGAGGGCACTTCCACGTAGGGGGGGGGATTACTGGAACCTCAACACAATGCCTGGATTGTGTGGCCACCCCACACCTGTAGTACCCTTCTTGGGGGGCTGTTTGTGTTGGGTGTAATTCTCCAGGGTCAAACTAGTTAAATTGCTAAACACAAACACGTAAAAAAAAAAAAAGAGCGTGCCGACAGGGAGGATTAGATGTTTCATTTTTCATCTTGCCGCCGGTCGTAATCATAATCCAACAGGTATGAGAAATGATACAAACGCAGGCTTACGTCCAGAAGGTTGTAGGGTCAAGTCCCAGGAGATTCCCTGGGCAGGATACTTATCCTGAACTGCTCCATCGAGAAACAGACATGGGTAACATGATATAGTGAAGAAACGGGTGCGCAGGGAGAAATGAGTGAGCAGAAAAGGCTCTGCTCTGGGTCCTCGAGTTGTTGATTAGAGTCATCAGATTTACCATATTTATATGGACTTTCTCCTATGGTGGATGGTTTCACTCGACAAGAAAGTATAACAAAGAGGTATATCTTTCTGCCACCAACTGTGTGTGTGTGTGTGTGTGTGTGTGTGTGTGTGCAGGGTTGTGCACAATCTAAGAGGGACTAATATTTCACTGAACAGCATTTTTTCGGGGGCCCGTACAGCTAGATTTTTGGGTGAGCAAGGGCAGTCTGGACTAAATGTAAGTGAATGAAGATTAAGTCCATTTAAATTAGGGCACCATAAATCTGACAAGTTATCTAGCTCATCAACATCTCACTGCATGACACAGGCCCCAGGACAGGCTGCAGATCATCATAACAACAACAACAATAATAAAATGATATTATATATATTGTTGTTATATTACTATTATCCATTCATTTTTGGTAACCGCTTGTCCTGTTCAGGGTCACAGGGGGTCTGGAGCCTATCCTGGAGGCTACAGGCGCAAGGCAGGGAACAACCCAGGATGAGGTACCTACTCATTGTGGAGCACACACACACACACACACACACACACACACACAGGGGGGGGGGGAAACCAGGAATCCAGAGGAAACCCCACAATGACACAGGGAAAACATGCAAACTCCACACTCATGGAGCCACGGTGGAGACCCAAACCCGGGTCCCAGAGGTGAGAGAGATTTTTATTATTTATTTATTTTTCTCTCACTCCTTTCACCTCAGGCACAGAAATTCTCTGGATGGACTTCTGCCTGTCTGGCCCTTATGCCTTACCCAGGGTGTGAGTCTGCAATGCTCCGAAACTCCTGGTCCCAGTTGGGCCTGCCGAAGAACGTCTTCTCCCTGAAGCCGGTGACCACGTCCCTCTGGGAGTCACGGTGCAGGGTGATGTGGCGTGCCTGGTGGAGGGGAAAGGCACGCGTGTAGGCTCATGTCAGATCCAGTTTGGGAGCGGGTTCGAGGGGCTGAGGCACCTCTCCTTGGCGTACCTGAGCATCGTCCCAGCTGGTGAGGTAGATGTGGAAGCTGACGAGGCGCCCCGTACCCGTGGTGTCACCCTCCAGGGAGAGCAGGAGGTCCCGGAACCACTCGAAGGCGGTGGTGTCACGACAGATCCAGAAGAAGTAGAGCTTGGTGGATTTAAAGGCACAGCACAAGAATATGATCACAACCTCTTTACCAAGGTTTGTACTACGCAAATATTTATTATCAAAATGTTCTGTCTAGTATAGTGCACAAACCCACACTGTGTATTATTTTTTAATTTGACATCTCATCCAAGCTTTAAAGTTCCATCATCCAGTTAGGACTCGGATTAGAAGGATTTATTCCTGGTTACCTTCTGGAGTTTCATGGCTTTCCTGGGATTTGAGGACTTGTACTGGAGTGATTTGAGGACAGAGGCGAATGGGGTGACTCCAATACCCGCCGCGATGCACACACTGACCTCATACCGGAACACGTCACGGCTGGCCGAGCCGAACGGGCCGTCCACCGCCAGGCTGGGGGAGAGACACAGTACTCAGAAAAGATTAAACTGATTGGCAGATGACCCAAGCCCCGCCTCCAGGGACAGTATTACGGTTTATTGGGCATAGAAGCCCCCTGTGTGAGGTGGTGGACACACTACATGGGAACTTGCCGTAGCTGAGGGATCCGCGAGTCCCCCTGGTGGCCGGTGTAGGTGGCATACAGGGCAGCCGTCCAGTCCCCCGCCACGCGCACGTGCACGCTGAAGTGGTCCTCCTCGGGGGCAGACGTCAGGGTGAAGGGGTGCCACTCCAGAGGGGCGATGGCAGGACACTGCAGGTACACGTACTGGCCTGGCTCCATGCGGAAGCCCGTCTTCGTCATCTGCAGCTCCACCACGTTCGATGGGTGAGTCACCACCTCCATGGAGAAACGTTACAGTGTTGCTTTATTTACCCGTAACTGAGCAATAGTGACAGATCTGTAAAGTAACACAGCTTTTTTCCAGTATTACATCACCAGTGTTTATAAAAAAATAAAACACACACACACACACACACACCCCACCAGCTGTCAGTATAGTGCTTCCCTTTTGTTTTCGGTGTTAATCAAACTTGGAACAATGAAACTATAACTGGAACATCTGAACTCTTTGAATATGACCAAAAATGCTAAATTAATTCTCACCACAGAAATTCTGTACAAACTGTTCATGCAAAATGGTGTAATTACTTAAGCCAGAGCTGAATTAAATTCAAAGTAAATTTAAATCAAATTAAACAGTTGAATGAAATACTGGTGGGTTCTGGAACTTCTGCATTTGACCGGAACCAGGAGGAAAATGCCACTGTGTTTTACCTCTCAAAAACCAAACAGCGCGTGGGCAGTAAGCAAACTTACTTTAGTAATGGCCACTGGTTGTAAAGAGCGAGTGAAACGCAGGATTCTCTCACAGATGTAAAGGAGGGAGGGAGCGATTATCCATTTCCACGACTGAAAGAAAGAAGAAACATGTAGCAGACTGTCTTTAAGCTTTTTATTCTGAATATCCTTATCATAAGACTACGGTGCAACATTAAACCTTCACATATTCTTAGACTGATCTAGAAGCTAGTTTTATCATGTTACATTTACACTTATTTGCTTAGTTGATTTTTCTTCCAAAGAGACATTTTTCACCCATTTACATAGCTTGTTATTTTCATAGAGCAATACAGCTTAAGTATTTTATTCAAAGTCATTAAAGTAAATACCTTAAGGGATATAAACCATCAACATTTGGTTACAATTTAACCAGCACAGTTAACATATTAACTGAAATTTCACGCCTTCGTCAAGTCAACATTTTTTAATTAGCTTCCATTCTTTTAAAATGTCCCAGGACGCAAGGAGCTGATTGGCTGGTGGAAAATGCACTGATTACCGCTGGGTCACTTCCCCGGAAGTGTGGTAGGGGGCACTGGTCCACATCCCCCCACTCATCTAAGTGCTCTCGACAGTAGGAGACGTTGTGCATTAGCAGGCTCTCGGCAGTCTGTCCCCGGACAATGCCCCTAAAATGCAGAGACCTGGTAATTAGCCAACAGCGAGGCTGCGGTGGTGGACACACGCTGTTTTCGTGTAATTTTAACATTCCTGAACAGAAACCACTTGACGAAATCAGTTGCTTCCATTTGTTCCCAGCCACAAACAGGTTTTCACCCATATTGTTGGACAACGGTTGCCAACTGGCCGATCCGCAAGACATTCCCAGTCGATAGCGACATGTACCAGACTCCCAGCCTCCCCAGTCAGCAAAAATCACCCGAGGATGATTCCATGGCAACTCAATAGCTCCCCAGATGATTTTCCTTGTAGAAGTAGCTTGCACTATACAAAAAGGTTGTAGATTATCGCTGTAGGGGCTACACACTCACCCAATGCCGTGAATGACCAACCCAACCAGGAAGACCACAAAGAAGTGATGGGTGAACCAGAACACCTCGTAAGAGGAGCGCCTGATAAACTCGGTAGATGAAGTGACCATCAGAGCCAGGACCAGTGTGATGACCAATCCGGAGAGCCCAGACACGTTAACCAGCACCTCCTTTGTAGGCGTCTGAGAGACACACCAAAGGACAGCCATCTGACATCAAGCATCACCTCAGGCAAAAGTTAAAAATGAGTATCTTGACCCCCCTTCGCCTGCCACTGCCCACTCACAGTGTTATAGGTGCGGATGGGGTTCAAAAAGCTCTCATTTAACCTGTCTCCCAGGCTGGAGAGTTTCAGCAACAGCTCTCCTGCTTCCGTAGACTGACTCTCGTGGTACCTCTCAATGTTGGAGAGATGGGCAATAACGTGGACAACTGCAACATGTAAAAAAAAAAAAAATAGATTAGCATTGTATGATTCCTGTAACCGGCTAGACTTTCGGGACTTGGATGGCCGCAGTAGTAATTACATAACGGTTACCGGAGTGAAACACCAGCAGGTAGCCCACCACACGGTGAAAAGTGATGTTTTTGTCCAGCTGCTTTCTTAACACTCTGCATCTGCACTGGGGAAAACGGAAGGGACGAAAGTCAGCACTTCGCGGGATAGCGGTTTGACGAGCGTGGGCAGCCTGCATGTATGGGGCGTCACTCACAGTGCAGGAGCCTCGCAAGAGGGAGACGAGGTTGCGGCTCACTGGCAGCAATATGACCATGCAGTTCAGGTTCACACACGTCGCAGAGGCTCGGGCAAAAGCCAGACCCGACTACGCAGGGGAAGAGAGAGAAAAGACCGCAAGGAATCTAAGCGATGAACATTAATCCGGAATTAGGTTTCTCCCGTGAATCGCTTTGCATGGCTGGTAGAAGTAAGAGAGCACTGACCCCCAGCATGACACGGGTGTAGGAAAAAGCCTCCTGGCTACTGTAATAGAGGAACGTGACTGTGAACAGGGCGACGTTGACTCCCACCAACAGTACCTGCCATAAAGCACACAATAGCGGAAGCTGTTTTAGCAAAGTGCTCGAAGAAAGTCCAGTCCAGCTCCTGACATCTAAACACGGTGGTTTATTATACCAGCGGAACAGTAGGAACCACTGGCACGTTGTTTTCCTAATTCCTTTGCTAACTGACGCTTCCATAAACACTAAAGAGAAACAATGATATTGTCGATTTTTATCGCATTAAGTTTCAAATGTTTTGCAAAAGACAATAATACAATAATCCCAAATACTGATAACGTTCCTAGAACCACTGCAACAGAGGTAGTGTAATCTGTAATTTAAACGCCTTTCAAGCACTTATAAGGTGATACAAAAGTACAGAAAAAACACCAGCAATAAGAGTATCAGATGTCAGAGTGTGATATCTGTGATATGTCTAATATGACTGAATGTTACTGACACTTAGTAAAATCTATAGACAATAATAGTATTCACATCGCATGACGATGTATAACTGCTTCGCCTGAAATCTACTAAATATTAATTAGTGCGTATTATTAATGCAACTGTTTTGCATGTATAGTCACTAGGAAGTGATACAGTCTGCTTTAGTGTTGGGGGCAAAGAGCTGAGTTTAGTCTACGGTGGTGAGAGTGTATATGAGCCTGTAAAACACAATTCTAGAGAACACAATTAAAAATAATTAAGACGAACCCATTATCCTTTGTGAACTAGTTTGGTAAACAAAACCGACTTTCCGTGTTTGTAGTAAAAATCGATATGGTACTTACCACCATAAACACAGACACTCCTTCATTAATAATCAAGTTCATAATGAGATATTCCTCAATCAATTTCGGTGCTGCACTAAGCCGAGACTCATCTTTCTGTCCTATACAAATATCACCACGGATGCTTATCTATCCCTGCACCCTTGAACTTTTAAAGGAATGTAGAACCACGACCTCTGGTGGCCGCTAACGGTATATTCGTTTGATTCTGAGTCCTACAAAAACGTACTGTACGGTAATACAGGCTCAGTCATGTTGTGATTCTGTTTTTAGTTTTTATTTATTATTATTTGTATTATTGCACTAAATCTAGCGAAATAGATTACACAATTAAAAGTAAGCCAATGTATACAGCTTGTCCAGAGACATTACTTGCTAGATAATAGGCTACGCTTAAGTAGACCGCTATCGCGTAAGGTGAGCTATTTCCAAACGTTAATTTAAATTTTATAATAGTCTCTGCCTAACTTTCAGGCAATCAGAAAGTTGATTAACCCTGACCCGGGCAGATTGATTCAGTGTATTACACAAATTAGGCCTACAAATTAGCACCTGATATTTTTTTTAAAAAACAGCTGTCCCTAATTGACAAAAACAGAGGAGCGGCTTTGTAATATTGATGACAACCGACTATCCTCCTAAAGTAATAATTAAAAATATGTTTTTCACAGTAAGTTAGTCTGAAAAAAACAAAGCGACATCTCATCTTCTAAAATGTCATGCTGTAGCCATGGCAACAGATCTTATCGGTTCAGTTCATTTCTAATGTGGTTATTAGTGAGTAGCTGGTCGTTCTTAACGTAATTAGCTTAATTTTAAGCTAAAATAACAACTGCTCACTACGCTTAGCGGGTTTTTTTAAATAGTGCATGTGGGTTACGCAGCCCAGCAGTTCGCTATGGTGCGCTAGCTGTACCCTCACGTGGCGGTGTCCGGGGACGGTAAAACACCAAAATATACCTTTGCAGCGACGTGTGGGATTTCTTATATGGTTAAACAACGTCGTAATGTTTTCGTATTAAGGGGAAATATTGGGCTTTCTCAGCTACTAGTGAATTGAGGTTTGCATGCATTCATACAACCCAAGTGATGGTGCAAACAGTTACACCATATATCTAGGAAGTCATTCATGCATTTAATTAAATATAATGTATTTTTTTTTACTTTGGAAGAAAAAAATCTGACCATACTCTATACACAGTCAATATTTTGTGCCCTGTGACAGCTCTCAATAATGGGTGTCAGAAAGTGAAAAAGATGGAAGTGCAGTGATTGTATGAAATGTGTACTTTGTGGCTACATATTACTTTTTAAAGACTCTGTAAAATCTTTCTGTAGATAAAAGTGTATCATGGGGGACATATTAGCTATAACGTTTCAAAGCACTGGTATTCCTTTCTCTTTCGTTTGATTTTAGGAATGGCAGAATTATGGCGTTTAAATATCAGCGTTCCAGCTTTTCCGTCCTTGTTAACTTTAATCCCGATCACTGCCTTCGTAACAAACTCCAGGCTCTGGAAACGTGTCTACAATGAGATTGTAGTCAGTGGGTCTGACGTGGGTTGGGTCAGGGGTCATCCCATTATTAAAAATGTTGCGGAAACCGAATCTCTGCCCTAAAGGTGAATGGATTTGCATTAGCTTAGTTTTGTTTTTAATGTCTACTACAAACGGCCGCACGCTAGAGGGCAGTGTTGCTTTGCACCAGTTCAACATTGGCCCCTTTTGAGAAAGGTAAGTTATAACGTGCATAGCTACAGATCAAATACTTACCTTACTGGATGTATTTCCAGTACTTAAGACTGTATGTTAATACACTCCTAAACACTTAAAGAATTCAGTTAATTTCTGCGACGTCCATTAAATTGAAATGGTGCTCCAACAGAATGCCCAGCTCAACGAAACATGTCAAGGCTGGAGTGCTGCTTGTTAAGAAAAGCTCAAAGCTAAATGATATTCAGGGCCATAACCAGAGGCGGGATGACTTGCAGTGCCGCGAGCAGAAGCCTCTCTTTTCCAGAACCTTAATTTATATTTTCAGGATTTCACGCACGTCTCATCAAAACCAGATTCAGTATGCACGCTTACAAAATTAACGTGTGCAATAACGTTCATGAGCAGGTTGCACTTGTACTGAAGCCAAAAAGCCCTAACTTAATTTACCATTAATAAGCAGGCATGTTTTTTATATACAATATTACATTTATTTACCAGCCTGAAGAATACGTAGTTACTGCCAATATAAGATCATTAATTTGATAATGCATGGAATAAACAAACCTTTATCCATAATGATTTCTTGATTGATGTAAACAGCAGCAATGGCATCAATGTATTCTGTGGCTTTCAGTGTGAAATTATGTTTAAATTATTCTCTGCAGTATGTTAACACTATTTGGGCATATCAAATAAGATGACTACATTAATATATAACATGGGAGTAAATAGAAATATTCTTATAGGGTAAGCAATGGCTATAGAAGGGTAAAACTTTAATATAAAATAGGGAACATGTTTATTGACAGTTAAACCATCTTTGCCGCAAAATTGACAGTGCATCATTATTGTCTATGAGCACACATATCTGTCAGCCATAAAATTTTATTTTCACCAGGCTGACGTGTGTCAGCCTCCACTGAGGCCTGATGTATGGGAAAGATCATATCTCACCGCGGTGACAAGGCCGGTGATCTCACATGGCGTTGGAGGTCTGGGCAGAGTCGCTGCGGTCAGCTGCTTTTACGTCTAGGTGACTGGCTAGATTAGAATAGCTTTACGCGCTGGCTTGTCTCTTACCGAATTCCACTCCGTGTATGGCGCAGGGCTCGAAGCACCGTCACGATGAATTTAGAATATGTGTTCGGCCTCAAGTTATCTCCCTCCAAATTTTAGGTAGCAGCATTATATGGAGAAAGGTGGTGAGCGGACTGTCTGGCCACGCTGACGCAGCAACCAATACACCCCTGTTATTCAAATCACGGTCCTCGAGGTTCACAGCTGGTTTTCCAGCCTTCCTTTACCTGTCAGTCAGGTGTGAAGCCTCTGACCAATCAGAGTCAGTAATTATTAAACTAACTACCTGGAAGAACTGAAAACAAGGCCTGGATTTGGAATCGATTTCCAGATTTGAAGAACCCTGCAATACACGCTAAAAAGACATGACAACAAGCACCCAGTGTCCTACTATAGAGTAAACATGATCTTCACATGTTTTCCCCTTTTATCATCCAGTATAGCACTTTTAAAGAATACAAGAAGCAAAATAACTTTCCAGCCGAACTGTGAGATTGGATTTTGTGACCATCGAGACGACACGTACCACAGAAAGCCGTTTGACGAGAAGGCCATTCTCGGTGAGCTTTCTGAGCTGCTCAGAGGTACGATGCAATGTCTGCTATTTCAGTATGAAAAAAAGCTTATTGATCAATTTTATAAACCTTAAAACCCAAAATTCAATGCCATTGTTTTGGTTGCTTGGAGCAACACTATTCATGTATAATATTGCATTGTGTCCTTTGTTCCTTTTTTGTTTTTGTAATTGTTGACTTTATAACATTGTTTTTTTTGTTTCCTGAGTGTGTTTTTCGATTAGAGGTACTCATCTGCAATTGCATAGACCCCATTTGCAGAATTCCCATTTTCACTGGTTCACCCCGTGTCATTGGCATCTCTTTGCTTCAGTTCCCTGGATTTTAGGTGTTTATTTTTATTGTATTTGTTAGTGGACTGCTTAAGCTCACAATGGTGGTAAAACAGAATATCCACAATACAACGAGTAAGTTATAGTATTAATGGATGTATTTATAGAGGACTACTTCTCTAATTCTGTGCACGCCATGATACAATAGCATATGTGCCCAAAAAAAACACCTTGGGATAAAATACCTAACAACCAATCTGACTGTTGTTGTAAGTAAAGATGCCTGTTTTAATATTCTTCCAGTTTCCTCTGATGGCGCCTTAAGGGAATGATTACAGACGCAGTTTTTGGCCAGGGTGGCGGTGAGATGCCAGGTTTGGTCTCTGCCCATGAAAGGAACCCTGGTCAGTCGAGTTGTCATGCGATTTCACGTTTCACTTCGTGTGTGTGTGTGTGTGTGTGTGTGTGTGTGTTTTTTTTTATTTCCCAGTACGGCTTGGGAGTGTTTACACCTTCAAGCGGCTGGACTGAACCTCACATCAGTCAATTAGCAAATCAAAAAATTTCTGATGATTCCAATTTAGTATGGAGTCCTTGGCTCCCTTTCTCCCCCCCCCTTTTAGATTTCCACCCTGACAGTGACAAATTACTCCTCTGCTCGCTGAGATTGGAAATTAAAAGCATTTAGAGTTCCTCATGCATTTATGCTAATAAGAAAAGCAGATATGATTTGCATGCAAAAGAGGGCAGTCTGAAAGCTCATCATTTTTTTCCACAGCTCTAGTGTTTCTTTGCTTTTCATTTTTATGTGAGCAAAGGAAAGTACACTGTGTATACACTTCAAAAGTGACATTTCATGCATCAAAGTTCAGTTAAACGCCAGGAATCCTATTATAGACTCTGAAATTTTGATTGATTTATTTACACAGAGCCCTGCCTAATATCCTGGCTGCTTTAAAGCCAAATTAAGGACATTAAGCAGGTTGGAATATTAATTGAGTGTGCGTACGTCGACATTTCAAAGCCACCTGAAATGCTGAAGACTCGGGATTCAAAATGCTGCTCGTGCTGTAATCTTGGATGTCTGAAAGGCTCGCGGCGTTGTTAGATGGAGCCGCTGGCCCTTTAAAAACAACACAACAGCTCCCGGAAATTTAATGGCGCTAAATCAAATCTACTAATAGGTTAACAGTGAAGAAATAAATCGCCACATTCTCACAGTCTGCCCACCTAAAATATTTGTAATGGTCAGATTCTATGTATCTTTTGACGGGGTCCTTCAGCACAGGTGTGTTATAAACACACACCAAGGGCATGCGGAGGGGAGGGGGAGGGGGGTTTAGTTAGTCTGCTTTTCTGATAGACATCTAATTAATTTCATCCATGATGAATCACCAGGGCTTCCTGCAGACATGCTGTGTAAACTTTGGCAGGTACAGTTGTGCTGTAGTTGCAGAGGTGACATCGCAGAGATAAGCCCTTACAGAGAATAGCTGTATTTTTATATCATTTGTCTATTTGGTTGGATATAATTTCAGTCTAAGTGGTATAATTTCATCCTTTACACCATTGTTTTGTTGACATACATGAAAATTGTCCTGATCCAGTTTAAAGAAAATGTACCTTGTTCATCAATTAACGTCTCGAAAGGTGAAAGTGTCTCCTGAAGTGACTCTAAATGTTGTACGTGAGAATTCTGAATATCATCTTCCTCTTGTCTAGCAATGTCCAAATTTTATGATGGAAATACCTGGTTATTT